GTGGGCTGGGAAACTCTGATTGTAACTCCGTGGCTCCCCATTTGTTGGGAATATGGATGCAACGATAGCTTCTTAGCTCGCTCCATTCATCCCTGGATAGCAAATACACAATTACATTGGATAAACCAACATATCCAGGTGTGTTTGAGGTACCAAACTATGTATTTATTGGTTGCATATCCGTTGCATATCCGTTGCATGCCGCCTGGCACGAAGCATTGGACCCAAGTGCGCGTCACCTGGGTCCCATCCCCAGGGGCGAAGAACTGGGCTTCTGAGGGCATTGCATTGTCAATTTGACTCCATGTGCCATTGAATTCTTGTGTAGTTTATATGTTTATTATATTTTTATTATGTATATTTGTGTATGTAATATGACCCCTGTTTTTGTTTGGTACTTTACCTATGGTTCGCCTCATGTGTTTATCGTTCACCTCCCATGTCATGCGTCTAACCCCACAAAATGCGTATGTGGGTTGTAGAATTGTCTATACAATTGAATACACGTAGTGGCATCTGCAGTATATATATATATACACATATATATATACATATATATATATATATTATGTATGTATATAAAAATGTGTGTGTGTGTATGTCCTAGATTCCTAGATCAGTTAATTAAGGGGTGTAACTTAACACGTCTAACCGCCTTTCGCTTGTTACCATCTGCTTGTTCTGGAAAAACCTCCGTCTTGGCGCATGGCTTGGCTGTTTGCCAACGATTTTGTATTTGGAATTGTTGGTGAATTTTGTATACTGTAAAATCGTATTGCTGATCCCCCTACTGATGCTGAAGTACCCATAGAGAGTGAATGAAGTACCCATGTATCATCACTTCTCGTAGAATCCAGGATCCGACTGTCTCCATACTTGAGCAGTGTCAACAGCTCATTGGAAGCATCCATTCTAATGCTTTACAAGGATTCCCATCCTGGAATTGTCCACTCTCCCAATATATAAAATATAGGATAATCAACCCCACACCAATCCTATACGTGGATGGGTCAAAACCTATCATTTCCATAGGGGACTTAACATCGATTCACCAGCTATTTTTGAGTACCTTGATGTACCTAGGGTACCGGGGTTTTGACAAAAAAAATAGCCATATTTAATCAGCAACCATCACCAACCAACGTTTTTTGTTACCCTCCAGCTACTTAACATAGCGAACTGGAAAAGTTCACCAGTTTTATAATGTTTTATATATGTTTATTAGCAAAATCATGGTTTCTATCATCCACAAATGGGCCATGTTCCAGTTCCCTATGTTAAATAACCAGAGGGTAACTGCCTGGGAACTGGGTGGGCTCTTCGCTACGAAGGGCCGAAGAGAAGCTGCCGACGCGCCCGTGTTGCCGCCGGGAGAGGCCTTGATGGCTGGTGGTGACTTACGTACATTGCATATCTCGCGTGTATATGTACTTGTAGACTGTATAATATATATATATATGTATATTTATATTATCCATATGATATATATATATATATAATATATATATATATATAATATATAATATATATAATATATATAATATATATAATATATATAGATACGTGTTGTGTACTTATTGACTTATCTATGACAATCCTCAGTAGACTGGGATCAACCGAAAGGGATCACCTGGGCATCAACCAGTTGTCGTGATGCAGCAAGAATGGACACAGTGCGAAGATATGATCATTGCTGTAATTGCTTGACTGATGCATGGGATATTGTTGTTGTTTTTTTTTTTTTTTCGGAGCTAACAAAGTATCCAACAATGAATGGGTATTCAATTAAACTGCAAACTACCAACACACATGGACTCTAATGCATGAGGGCAGTGCTTTGACACACAATGACATGATGTCAGATTGGTCGCTTTGGAACCCAGTCAAAAATCATACTTCAAACTTCAAACCACCGACCAAATCCGGATGTTGCGAACCAACAGGAAAATCAACCAACAAACATAGGAATGTGACAAGTTGTAAAGAGAAATGCGACCTAAACAAAGCAACAATGGGAAACATATGTAAGGGAGACACAAGTGACCGACTAAAATCCACTAAAATGTACATTGCAGCAAAGAGCATCGAAACATCAATGTGACCGTTGCCCAGCAAAGTATTTACAGATACCACCAGCAACAGTCGGGTGCCACATGGTAAAACCAACAAACAGCCGGATCAACTCGTAACTGAGATATGACATGACGGGTATACCGTGCATGATTCCCTGGAAGCTATGATGTCACAACATCATCATGTAAAAGGCCACACAAGTTACAGTAACAATTCTGTTCATGGCCAGTTCGTGAAGAACCCCTTCTGCCAGAATTCACATTCTAGCCACTGCGGATCACCATCCTTACACATGGAAACATGACCGCAACATTTTCACAAAGTCTGAAGCAGGTGATATGTGGTTGGCTATGAATGCGCAGCCCCAGAGTAGTAAAATCCCCGATGAGGGACCACTTGATAAGGAAACTATGTATTAGAATATCCATATAATTTAATATCCATATAATATCCATATAATTCTCATCTTTGGATTTGCCCTACCCCCCAAAAAAAAATAAAGGTAAAACTCAGTGGATTCCCCAGTCATGGTAGATTACAGCACCATCAAATGGGAACATCAAAAAATCACCAGCGAAATCAAAGTCATAGCGGCTGGGTGTGTACGTAAATGCGTCGGTTTAGGTATATGCATGATACATATCTGAATGTACATCATATGTATGATATGTATATATATATATATATAGAGGTTTCCATAAATGGGGGATCCCCAACATGGATTGTTTCTAATGGAACATCCCAACAAAATGGATGATTTGGATCGATTTGGAGGTACCCCCCATGACTTAGGAAAGCTCCATATACAGATTGTTTCATAATCACATATGGCAACCTGGGCATCCAAGGACTTCTTGCTGAAGCAAGTCACCCTTTTGGCTGGTCTCGTAGGCGATGTACTGGTTCGGGCAGGTTTCCATTATAGTCATGGGGGTACCCCCAAATCATTCATATTTTAGATCATTTTAGTAGGATTCTCCATTACCCATGACGGATCCGGCTGGTGCTGGTTTTTCTATGCTAACATGACTGGGGTATATTGATGGGATCCATGGCACAAAAAAAAAGCAGCACCGTTAGGATCCTTTGGTGCGGATCACGGGAATCGAAAGCCAACGTGACAATCCGTTAAGGGTGCCCCGGTGTTTCATATCATGCGGACACAGCGAAAAATGGGGTTACCTAGTGATAAATGACTATCAATGATAACATCAATGATAACATCAATGACTATCAATGTTAACTTTCAATGGGGTTACCTATCAATGTGTTGTAGCCCCAAAACTCCTCAAAGCTGATTTCTTGGATTTTCTTGGGCCACTTTTGATGCCCTCAAGGACTTGGGCACAAGGGCTCGGCCTCGTCCACATTGTGTAGGATTTGCTCACCTGATGTGTTTCCAGGATTCCGGGACTGGGAATACATGGGCAGGTGAACATCAATGGTGGAGAGGTGGTGTCAACAATCAACATGAATTATATATATGTATATTATATATATACATACAATAATACGTATAATATGTATATGCATAGATATATATATATATAACATATTCGTATATTTGTATAACGTACATTAATGTACGCATCCAATGTACAAACTTTAATGACCACACCGATACATCAAATAAATTAGTTTTTCACACGAGGACTATCAAATCATCGCCCTACCCCAGAAAAACAAAAGGATGGATCCAAAATCATCCAAAATCCACTCGTTTCCACTCTGTTTTGCTGTTCTTCAAGGTACCAGAGGTTCGTTTCATTTCGTTTCGCCATCGACGTCTGATGGAGACAAAGCTGGGAGACTCTCCAAGGATGGTGTGTTATCGTGTCTTATGTATTAGGGTATGGTCGGTATGGTATAGGATTGACGTGCACTAAGAAAACACAGGGAAAAAATCATTGACAATATATCACTCGAGGGTCAATATCTCAGGCATGGTAAAGATCAACCAAGCCACCGAAGGACAACGAGTGTCATAGAAAAAGGGTTCGTTCTGGTGAACTGCTAGGGTCCTAGGTTTGATGGCAGCTATATCTATCGTCGGATGGATCTATAGTTAATCAGGAATCAAACACCAATTTATAACTTACTGGAGCATCATCTTATGATGAGATGTCGATCTGGGTTGGTTGGAACATGTCAGATATGTTAGAACCACGTGAATTTTCTCGGCTAGAACTAAACCGTAATCCGTCCCGATGTTACCAAATCAAAACCACATCTTGGTTGGTAACATGTCAATTATTTGTGGAGTGCTGGCTGCCCTGATTGATCCACTTTCCGTTTCTGGACTAGGCTTGCCACAATCATGGCAACGGAAAATTGCGAGTTGAGGTTGGTTGGGGTGGAAATCCCAACGGCCCAGTTTAGTTTTGTTGGCAAAAAAAATGAGCAGTTTTTCAATGTCTCCATTTAAGGTGACTTGCGTAAGTTTTTTGTAGACAATTCATCCAACATGGCAGCGACTGCCAGCCACTGCCAGCCGTCCAAGTCGTCCAAGTCGTCCAAGTCGCGACTTTGGGGCCGCTCCTTGGCGCTTCGACGGCCTGAGCCAACTGGAAGTGAGTAAACTCACCATTTTCAATAGGCCAATCAGCATGAATCATCTATTTCTATGGGCCATTTTCATCCATTTAATTTAAGTTGGCTATAATAAATAACCAAAGGGGAATACTATCTATTTCTATGGGCCATCTATACCAGTTTGCTATGTTGAATAAACCAAAGGGTAAGTGCCTGGGATATGTTTATGGTACATTAATGGGATGATGGGTCGGTAATATGCTGGGAAATCCCTGTGGCCTATGGCTGGCTGGTGGAGTTTCCAGGCCATGGAACTGATTGCTGAAGGGTAATAACTTTGAAAATTACATGGATGAAACAACAGTTATATATCCCAGAGGATCCATGTATGGAATATGTACCTACATTGACCCCTAAAGTAATTTAAAATAATCCCAATGTAGGTAAATATTCCATACATGGATCCTTAGGGTATGGTTCACCAATGATCATATAAATTGTAACCATTGATGTATTGGTTTTGTGAGCCCTATCTAAAAAAAATAACACATGATCACATGAGCTGGTCTTCGTAGGACGGAATGTTCGTCTCCCAGCAGTCTTTGAATGGCAACATCTGCCTATGATAAACCACTCCGACTATAGATATATTATATCTGCCATAAAACTGGTAAGATAAGCCAATCCAACTATAAATATACAAAATTGATCAAAATTGTTTCGGTTGTAAATTGATGTACAAACCCATCCAACTATAGATATATCTTGCATATACCCCAGTTTGCCTAGTTCTAAAACCACCTTGCCAATCTTTCGGGGGGGACCGTTCTTGTACAGTTCCCTATATCTCACCATCAGTGAATTGAGTAGATTGCATTCATTCATCGCAATCTATGTGTAGCCTCTGGCCACATATCATACCGAAAGCCATCTGTGTCACATCTGTGTCACGTGTGCATCTGTGGTTTCGTTGTTTGTATGCATATGTACATACCCCAACACTAGTTGAGCATATGTTGTCTGTTTTTTTTAATCTCAGACATGGATATTATATTTACATGTACAGCTGTACATAGAAAATTTATTTATCTGCAATAATAGTGTGAATTATATAATACACAATTATATAATTTATATACATTATATAATACACAATGATATACAAATATATCATCTTCATCTTCCAATTTCCTGTCAGTCAAATAGGTAACAAGATCATGTTCGGTGAAGTCAACCAAGGATTACCTATCTCAAAGGCAACTGAAAGGCCAGGCATTGGTAGTGACAAAAGCTAACATGTTTTCAACCAGTCATTGTATTCATATGATACAAACTTAAATTGTATACACATATCACGTCTAGATATATCGAAATACATACATGTGTATATATATATACTAGTATATATATATATATATTATAATTATATATAAACATTATATATTATAATTATATCACATATATATATATGTATATATTCTGTGTATATAGTATATATATATATACACTTATACAATTATAGAACTATATGAATAGTGTCAGCATATGCCGGCCTCCGTTGCTGCGGTGGATCCCGTGAGGGCCGTGGCCTCCAGATGAAATCATGGAAACATGGGGGAAAACTGGAGATTTACCTGGTAAACATACAAAAAACTATGGAAAATCACCATTTTTTATGGGAAAATCCAGTATTTCTATGGCCATGTTCAATAGCTATGTTAAATTACCAGAGGGTAAGCATCAATAATGGTGATTTAGCCAACATTGATGGTGATTCAACCAGAAAAAATGAACACTTTATGGGATATTCATAGGGAAAACGATCACTAGAGGGTTAATACAGGTTCTACCAGTGTATCTAAGCAGGCAAAATGGTGATTTACCAAAAATGGCGGTGTAATGAGATAGAGTCGGAATATATTGAGGACCACCATTGCTTTTCTTAGCCTTCGGTATCATCAAACATGGCTGGGAGGGGCTTGAGTGGCCCAGAACGCCACAATGCCATAGAGCTGATTAGCGGAAGGGATCTGGTTACGGTTAGGAGATATCTCCATCAAAATGGATGTGTGTGAAAATTGGTTTACCTTAATAGGATCAGTGGTCATTAATGGCATCTAATGGAATATATTTGGATATATAACTTATATAACCAACAAGAATGATATGTGTCTGTCTGAAAATGGGTATATCCCCAAAATGGCTATGTTCATAGGATCAATGGTGATTAGAATAGTATTAAAACAAACCCAAATAGGAAAAGATGAATTAATTCCGAAGTACGAAGGATGACCTACGTTTGTTTACAGGGAAAGTCATGGGTTCATTAGTCCATTCATGAACGAATCCAAATGGCTGTAACAAAACATGGGGAAGGCATCACAGAAAGAAGGATTATATACATCGACTAAAACTGGTTGGGACTTGATTAATAGAAATATTGAGTTAATATAATATCTATATACAATCATATATATATATAATCATATATATATATACATAATCATATGTATATATATATATAATCATATAGGCAATCATGTATTGGTTGAAGAAAACTGTAGCATTGTAACACACTCAAGTATTCAGCATCAACTAGAAGATATCTGTAGCCCAGGATTACGGTAGGGATTCCAATGGATTCTCATCATCATATGGCGTAATACTGGTGAAGCAATGAATTGGATGCAATAATGATGGCTGTTATTTAACACTAGTGCATTATAGCCTTTCATGATTTATCACTATATTTTCCCAATTCAAATGGAACTTTAGGAGGCAGACACATCCAAATATCATATTATATACAGTATATATGTAATATGTCATCTGCAAATCCGATGACATTCAATCGTATTCCCATCCCCTTAGTATCCCCCTAATGTTAATTCCGTACTTAAGCATGGTTTGCGGGGAGGTGTTTAATATGAACGGGGGATGGTATCAATGGGTTAATATTTAACCTACTTAACACCATTTTATATATACTGCACAACAATGTTCACACCCAATATATAAAAACAGTATAAGAGTGTTATGACACCTATTCATGTCAATGTACCTTTTTTAATGTAGTTTTATATATATATATATATACTATAAAACAGATTAACTATGATTAACCCTAGCTATTATCTATATCCTCTATAAATCATAGTTAATAGGATATTATCCGAATTACTCTCTATTAACCTAGCTACAGTTAAATCCTCTATAAACCCGACCTTTTTTATCCCATTCTATCGTGCCAGTGGATCAGTCACGAAGCGAACAGCGCAGCTCGCTGTTTCAGGATCCCAGGCCAGTGATGAGACCGTCGAAGAGGTGCTCAAGACCTGGGGTTTTCCATGGCGGCTACCCCAAAACCATGCTGGTTGGTGGTTGAGCCTACCCCTCTGAAAAATATGAGTTCGTCAGTTGGGATGATGACATTCCCAATATATGGAAAAATAAAAGCCATGTTCCAAACCACCAACCAGCATGGGTTTTTAATACTAAAATGGTCTACTGACTCGGATGATTGATAGGGGTTCCATAAATGATCCGCAATAGCTGGATGATTTATAATGTAAAATCTATGAAAATCTTATAAAAATGGATGATTTGGGGGTACCCCTATTTTAGGAAACCTCCATGTCTAATGGAGATAAAGTGGATTCCCAGATTGGACGAGGTCTGAATAGTAAAAAGCAACATATTAAACACCCAGTAAGTGTTGTACAACCCAACTACCAACGGAATTAGAATAAGCACTGAAACCAAATGATTGTGAAATCATCATACCATGATGCTGGAGATTACCAACAAATGTGGAGTTTTCAAAGAAGCTTGAGAAGAACATCTGGGCACAGCCCAGGCTCAAAAAATCCGTGAGAAAAGTGAGAAAAGGATTCAGAACTTTACTCCAACAACAGACAGACTGAAGCTTCTAAGCCTTAAGGGTATACGGTAAGACCAACAATAATATCCTTGGACAATGGCTGTCTCATTAGATTGTTCCCGCCCGCCTCCAAGTCAAATCGTCTTCACACATCCAAATTTGTCCAATTGAAATCGACTAGTTGATGGTCTACTTTCTGGTAGGGCATCCTGGCTGCAACATCATTGTTTAATTCACATCTTCGGCAAAATAAGACATGTGGGCATGAGTCACAATCCGGTAAGACGCGGATCTCAGAACTGGCAGGGACAATCCCTGATTTCAAGATGATTACCACTGGCCAGGTATTTCTATAACATATTGCATGTGTATATGTATATATATATATATGTTTATATATATATACATACAGTATGTATTTGTTTTGGATCCTCATTTGCAGTGGTAATCAGTGGCAATAGATCCTATTATCTCTATACAAATATCACCATTGTGTTGTTCCTTAAGCCCCAAGTTGGATCATGAATCCTCACCCTTTGTTTGATTATATAGATTGATTGGATCACCATGAAAGTCACACTTCAATGATTTATTTAGTCCAATAACCATTTTGTTTAATCCAATCATCACTTCTTGATTGCTTCACCAATAGATCATCACCATTGTTGATTCAATCCTCCCTGTACAATCCCAAAAATCCCACTTCAAATGATCCATACAGTTTTGAATATCAGCTTTGATGGTGGAAATTCTCCATTTTCGCCGTGACTGGCCACTGGCCCCCTGGCCCCTTGGCCCTCTGCCCCCCCTCTCAATCCAACCCGGGGCGAGGAACCTTGCCCATGGGAGCCTGGAAGATGAACATCGATATGGAAAACCCACGAGTCAAGTATCTCTTTCCTTGGGAAACCAGGATTTCCCTATCATCCTTTAAATTGACGGAGGGTAGCCACCAAGAAAGGAAGAACTTGAAAGCCAACAAATCCAAAAAACAGCTTCAGGAAGATTATGTTTTGGGGTTCCAGGTTGAATCCAGGGAGTAGCGGCCTGGTGGTTAAGCCACCCTTCTCGATGATCCCAAACGTCTGAGAGGATATTGGCTTCCGAAGCCATCTAGCGTTGTGTCAACGATATTTAAACCCAACCATAATTTTGGTGATCAACCCTGCAACTACATGGAATTATTTTGTATGCGTGTAGACATAAGTCTTCATGGACTGAATGTAAAATGTGAACATCGTGAGCATATGTTCCCATTCTCTCTGCAGGTTAAATACCAAATACATCATGTTCTACAACTGTTTGTGGGCTCAAGCTGCCTTGATTCAAATCATTCTCGCTGGTCAAGTACCAAGTCTGTCTCTTTGTGTGTGTAGGTGAATTATCCATATAGACTTGTCTGAGAACAGTGATAATGTACCCCAAAATGCCATGGTTCAAATAATTCTCCAGATTCAAAATGCCATAATGTTGGAAAATATGTATCCGGAAAGATATGAATACACACTACGGTATCTCCCCATTCTATGCCACAAAATGCTGTGTTATCTTTGTTTCAATATTGATGGTTGACATCCCCAACTATATGTTCATTTACTGATGGTTAGGCCCCATTATGTCCCATTATGTCAAAGCATATCCCAATATACGTCAATATACTATTTTCTCGCCATGATGTTTGTTGCTAAATCTGGTTATAGACCACAACATCGACATGACTTCCCGTGTGTTTTTCATATTGGAGCTGGCAAATTGGACACGGAACCATATGAAACCTGAACACTGAAAACTGGGCCCTGGCTAACGGCTGGGGTTCCGTATCAGTTTCGTTGGTTCTTTATCCAAGTGTAATATACATCTCGTATTCCCATTACATCCCACAACAGTATACATATAATCCTGATTGTATCCTCCCGTTCGGTTTACTGAGTGTAATCCCTTCCCCAATGTTAAACACCCCAAGAAACCATGGTACTAATGGATACTGGGGGGTACCATTGGATGCGTAAATATTATAACCAACATAATATGATATTAAGGTGTGTCTGAATATGGATATGTAATCTCCTCCAAAAAATCAATTTAAACTGGAAAATGACAATGATGGCTGGTTGGTGTGTTTTTACCCATCCAAAAAATATGAGTCATCTCAACTAATCATCCCTCTTGTATGGTCCAAAAACAATAACATATACAGTAATATACATATTAAAGACCCTCAGCCAGTTGGTAGTTAAATCCACCATATTCCGATGATATTCCCATGATTGTTGCGGATTTTTGCCATACCATGGGGAAAATGATGATAATCCAGGGGAATCCCCCTACAGTCCAACTTCGGTCCAAACCTCATCACTTCTTTGCTGCCAATCCCCAACAGTTGTGCACCTGGCGCACCTCCGCCCAAGCCAGAACGGGACCCTGAGCACTTCGAGGAGTATGGAATGTTGGGGAAATTGATGGCATTTCCATGGAATGTTGGGGGATTTCATGAAATGTTAGGGGATTTCAGGTGTTTTTGTTGGATTGAAGATGATTTTAGCCGATTAGACATGGCAAGGTCCATACTCTTGCAGGATATTACTGAAACAATCGCATTTCTCTGGTTTTCCCTATGGGAATGCCCGCAAAGTAGGCTATCCGGTATCCGGAAAGCCAATCTTAATGGTGTATCATCGTCTAGTGATCAGGATTTTTCAGACACAGCCACCATTATGCAAGTCTATTGGATGGTAAATCACGATGTTTATTGCTAAAATGAATGTTTCTGTTTGTTGTATCCCCACCGCAAGATCTCAAAAATCATTGGAATCCTAAAACTACCAAGAAATAAACTAAAATCCTATGACATCATATATATATATATATATACAATATATATATATACAGTATATCAATCTACTGATACTGAGAAATCCATAAACCTTTAGAACAATAAAAGCATCAATCCACTAAAAATCACTATAAGTTAACATCTAACTATAACATATATACAGCAGTTTAACTTACGCATGGGTATGGAGATGGGTGGTTTACTCCAGCATGTTGGTGTTTGTACTTACTTTCGCAACCACAAACTGAAGGTTCAGGTATTTCACACGTGGCAGTTTGGGTGTTATAGAGCTGTGCAGCCAAACACATTCTGAGTTTTCGCATTCAAATCATGAGATTTGAGCGTTGAACAGTTTTACGCAACACATATGTGATTCAATCATGGAGACCAAGGATAGAACCAACAAATTCAATTTCTGACATTTTAGTTATCAACGTCAAGTCTAGGACTGTCCTGCTTCAGCTGCATTAGAGCCAGAGCTGACTCTGGCCGGGTGAAGACGACTCCTTTTGTCTGTAATTGTCACCATGTTTTTGTTGGACCCTGTCAACCAAGTTTGTCTAACCATCAACAAGTGCAATAATGCATTCCTTAACTTGAATTTTTGTGCAACTATGGGTATGGCATATCATTGGATTGATAACATTATCACCAAATATGGTTAGATTCGGTAAACACGAACCGAAATCGGATGAAATGATGATTCACCATCCAAACCAACCAAATTGGCATCCGCCCAACGGCCAAGGCCTCTGCCGGTGGGGGCCTGACGAGACATGGCAGGTGTCAGGACTGGTCCCTCTCTTGGTGGTTTGTTGATCCCCTGTTTACCCGCTATATAATCAAACCAAACATAGATTGATAATCTTCCTATGTATAGATGCCCATTTGGTTCGTGGATTCCTAGCCAGCCATGTAGTCCCACAAAGGCCAAAAATCAGTGTGCGTGTGTGTGTGTGCGCGCGCGTGTTTGTAGTCATGCTGGCAAGCCATCCCAATCAGAAGTTTGCGAAAAACTGAAACTGACCAGTGATGTTTTGAGGAATGAGTTAAAGCAAGGACACAAAACACCTGACATACTAGACAGTATCAAACCATCCACTTGTGGGGTATGAACTTGACTAGTATAACTTTTAATTTTAACTTGTCGAAAGAAGTTTAGAGGTCCAACTTCCGACAATATTCACAGATGGACAAGAAGAGGAGAGAGCAATCAGATAAGAGAAAGAGTCGGAAGAGAAGAAGAGAAAGAGTCAGAAGAAGCGGCGGGTGCGCAGCCATCTGGGTAGATGTGAAATCAAAAATTGCACGCCGTTGTGGTGCGAGGCGCGAAGCACATTTCGAAGTCAAAATGTGAAAAGCATTGAAAAGCAAACCATTCTCGGAGCGCTCTTGGAAGTTGAGATGTTGCAAAAGCTTTTGGCGCTGTGGCGCAAAGCGCATGTTGAAATCAAACTGTGAAAAGCGCACCACGTTCGCGCCACCTTTGGAAGTTGAGATGTCGAAGAAGGGCACGCTGTTGCTTCCTTGTGGCGCGAAGCACAATCGAAGTGAACAATATTAAAAACTGACGGTCTCCTACCACCCGCCCTCAACGCTACACTACAATACACTAGACTACAACTACCACTAAAACGTGAACGTCAACTACAACTACAACTACATTACAACTGCAACTGGACATGCAACTGCATGCAACTACAACGACGGTTACACTACGCCAGGCTAACTACACTACACTAGATTAGACAATACTGCACTACAACTACAAGTGCAACTGCAACTACAACTGCAACTGCAACCGCAACTACAACTACATCTACACTACACTAGACTGCATCTACACTAGACTACGCTACACTACACTAGACTACACTGCACTACAAATACAACTACAACTGCAACTACACTACACTAGGCTTCAAATACTCTACACTACACTAGGCTTCAAATGCAGTACGCTACACTACACTGCACTATACCAGACTACACTGCAACTACACCTACACCTACAACTACAACTACATCTACACTACACTAGACTGCATCTACACTAGACTACACTACACCACTGCTACTAGGAGAGACCCAAAGCCTCACCTTTCGAGCCTTGTGCGGTTGACCACCAACTTGGATCCATGGGGATTCACCCAGGGATCTGGTTGGTGGTTGAGCCACCTACCCCACTGAAAAATGATGGAGTGGTTTCGGCAGCTGGGATGATGACATCCCAATATGATGGGAAAGATTGGGAAAGTCATAATCCAGCCATGTTCCAGTCACCACCAAGCAGTTATACATGGATTATACCAAAGCCAGTCAGGATCCCAACCTACCAGTAACTCAGTAACTCCAATGACTGGGTACAATTGGCTATAACGGAGTAAGGCACACTAGGGTACCATGATGCCTCCGTGATGCCTGCCCCAGCCGGCGGGGATCCGCCTGGGAGGCTGAGGCAAATCACAAAGACACAAACGCCACTCCTGGCCGCGGGGTGCATAAGGACATCAAGCAACGTTCAACGAACAAAAACATCGGAAAAAAGTAACCTATCTTTTAGTGATCCCCATGCACTGAGAGTTTATCTGACATTCTATCTGGCAGGAGTTCGGGTCCAGGAGTGCCAGCTGGAGTTCGCGATGGGCTTCCGGTTCCATCGAACTGGCAGAAGGAGGAGGAGGAAGAAGAAGGAGGAAGAAGGATGTGAAGGAGTTGCACCTTTGTTAAAATCTAGAGACCCTCACCTGGCAGGTGGGGAACCAACAATCTGATTGTGGTGGATGGATGTTGATGGATGTTAATGGATGTTGATGGATAACACAATCATTTATTCAAAACACCGACTTAATAAAACATAATAAACCTACTGAAACCAACTCCAGTGGAACAAAAAGGGACATCTGTGTCTTTTTCATGGGGTAAGACACCAAATTCAATACTCTAATCCATTGTGAACGTCTCAAGTAAAAATGATAGTCGCACCAAACAAAATGTTGTCTTCGTCAAACAACCTGGTTGGTGGTTTCAGTTCAGATTCGAATCATTCTCCTCTGGGTTTCGACGAGGTTGTATAATAGCAATTGTGTCCTTGATCTTTTCGGAAAACCAGAGCGGCCAGTTTGGTACATGATTTGTTATCATCCACCTAATCACCTATTGGTTTTTGAATTGGGGGGAGCCCTCTATTAATCAACCAACCAGTGAGAAAAGGGCGTCTATGAAGTTAATTAAGGACTGTGAACATAGCCAGCCACCAACCAGTGCAACTGCAAACCAGTTGTGCTGCGTCGACTGCAGCACCTGAATCATCACATTGCACTGGTGCAACTTGGAAAAGACCCCCAGGGTTTACCTCATACGTTGACCGTGACATGCGTTTCAAAACATCTGAACTCCAAGTGTAAGTGTGTGTGTGTGTGTCTGTCACCAAGAAACAGGTTGAATCCCCTTGTGTTGATGAAATTACCCATGGTCATGAGTCATAGTTTTTCGATGTTTTTCGATGTTTTTTACAATCATCCTGTGGCCAGGCTCCTCAGCATCTTCGACCATGCGGCACAAACCATTCTCCAGTTGAATCTGCCAACCTCTTCCATCCACCTTGGAGCAGGGTGTGGAAAGACCTGGACTTGTGCTCAAAAAATCATCAAAAAATTGTTGATTCAAATGGGTCAGAAACACTTCAAAGCACTTTGTGTTCATGCTCCATGCGTTTTGAGACAGAAAAGGGATTCGAAAATGGCTTGTCAACTTGATCACGAGGTTTTAGTAGCTGAAATTGTAGTTGTCTTCATACACAATATCATACAATTCACAAAACAAATCCTACCACAAGTCAACTTGGCAACGTCAAGCACTCCGCTTCGTCTCAGTCCATCTCATTTGGGATGGACAGTCGCTTGGTAGCCACTCATTGACGATTCACTGGACATATCCCCAGTTTATCCCTATAGGATCCTACTGACCGGTTATCTCGCAGGTGACATGGCCAAATTTAGATAACTTGTGGCCAAAACAACAACCTATTCACCAACTCTGTTCCCCATGGTCTACCCAGAAATACCGGAACCCGGTATGAAACTGCTTGGTCGTTGCAAATCCATGTCAAACATATGCTGGTCAATTGACGGACCCTCATCCCGTTCTTCGGGACGGAAAAGCAGCAAAAATAAATGAAAGGTGTTTGACACCCTATTATCTATTAGCGAATCATTATCCAGCATTTTTTTCACCAATGAACAATGGCTTCCTCATTGCTTCATGGGTACAAACATCCTTTTTGTTAACCTCAAGACTTACCAGCAGTTTGTTGATTTACCATCTGGTTATGATAACAGTTCGCCATGGAAAGATCCACCCATTTTATAGCTAGGTAAACCATCTATTTCGATTAGGGCCATCTATACCATGGCTATGTCTGGTAATTTAACATAGCTATTGAAAATGGCATTGTTTAATGGGAAAATCAACTATTGCTATGGCCATTTTCAATAGCTATGTTAGTCATTACCAGAGGGTAACTAAAATGCAGCCGCCATCAGCCGCTTCCACATCCGAGCGCCCGGGCACGTCCCAGCACCGTTGCCTTCTGCACGCCGGCCTCCCGAGGGCAGTACCTGCCGGAGATAAGTTTCGCCAGCCGAAAAATTGGTATAACAACAATATATACTGATACTGTGCCTATAATATTATATATATATATATATGTTTTTATACAGTAACATTTATCATATAATATTAATATATATATATATATATATACGTACGTATATATAATATTAGATTTACATATGTATATCATGATGCACCATGGAAATTCCATCAACAAACTGCGGGACTTGTCCTGCGCAGGAAGATATCATCATCATGGAGATCCCCGGTACCGCCCGGAGGCCCGGAGTAAAAATGGCGGTTTTGACCAGAGACATCGATGGAGATTAATGATTATGGAGACAGAGATAGCATAGCAACATATAGCAACTATATCAAGAAAACTTGCAATAGGTCATGTCGGATTCATACTGAAGTAGTCGTTGGATGTCGTTGGGTGGTTTGATGGGTGATCCGTTCGTCTTTTGCCATCAATAGAGGAACCTATTATCGCACAAGAAAAACACTTGGATCTGCTCCAGCTTTCGCACCTGCCAATTGAGGATGGTTGCAACCCAATTGCGTATTTATTTGATTGCATGCGTGCTGTATGTTAAATTACTGTAAATGATACCTCAAGTTCTGTATGAGATTGCTAATCAAATGTACTCAGTGGTATGCGCAAATCCAAGTGCCCACTTGAACCCCCACAAACTTTGATCGAAAAACATTTGCAGGACTCCCCTTTAACATGGTTAAATGGTGAGCAAACGGTACACCCCGGTCAGGACCAATGGGGTTTCATAAGCCCCTAATATCCCCTAATACGGCTTGGTGGTGGTGAACAACCCCCTGCATAATGTCTTATTGGAGCAGTGTTCAGCCATCCCGTGACGGTGGTGGTTGAGAACGGGAGTCCTATAATGCCTCAGTTCAGAATCAACAAGGTAGTAGAACCGCCTATAAGAACCGATATGAACCAATCATCATCAATCAATCAGATGGCCATTTTTTAGGCGGTTTCAAAAAGGCACCTTTACGCCTTGACGAAAGATGGTCTAGATATGTCTAGATAACTAATCCACTTAATCAGCTGCCTTTTCCTTTCCTGTGTTCCTGTGGCCGTGGGGCGGGACGCCCGGCGCACAGCACCGTCTGCCCCGGTTGAAAGGCAGCCGGCTCTACGGGGGAGCCTGCCGAGCGGAGGTTTTGCCATGGTGTTTTGCCATGGTGATTCAATGGGATTGAGGGACAGTGGGACTATCATAAGGATACACAACCAACTTGGGGGTGTGGGGATACGGATGCTGGGTATAACAAACTCCCACGAGTTGGGCTTTAGCCCTTATAGCTAGGGGGGACTGTTGAGAGCAGCGGAAAAGTGAGATAAATGGCATGTTTTGTTTTTTCAAATCCTAAATAAACAAATCATCCAGATATGAACAGGTCGCACTTTTAAGCACATACTTTTCACCCGACTATGTACTCAAAATTGCCATAAATCAATAAGGTTAGGTGTTTTATCCAGATTGTTTTGGATATAATCTAGTTCCATGCAGTTCCCATGCAACATATTTAGATTTCTTGTTTAAGAGTCTCTTTGTATGCTGGTCTTATTGAATGCAATTGAGTAAATACATCAGACTCATAAGGCAAAGGATCAGAAATGTAAGAACTTATTCAGGAAAAAATATATTGAAACATATTTGCACCATTTTGCACCTTAATATCCTTGAAAAAAATGCATGAACCCTTCCACAATCCCTTGCAAAATATCACGGTTTTTTCTCAAAGACACAGGGCGTCCTTAAAGATGTACAACATTCCCTTGAAGGGGAACCATGTTTCTATAGTATCTAGCATGAGTTCAACATACTGTATTACTGTTCCAAAATGCAATAGTAAATGCAACCATGAAGTGTTCCCATGCTTGTAAACAAACATGTGTCATTAAGTTGCAATTTTCCCTTGAGAAAATCTTGTTTTTTTCCAACAAACAATAACCCTACAACTTATGAAGGTAGCGCGGGATCAAGCATTTCACCTACCAATCTATTTCTCATATCTTTATTGGCACAATTTACCTCCCAAATGGTTAGGAGTCGTGCGGATGATTCGCTGTTGTGGATCCCACATTGTACCAACCCGCAAAAAGATTGAGTAAAATCCTACTATAACAGTTGCATGTTTGTGTTCTATCTTTTGGTGAGTACTGTAGTTTGAAGCCAGCTGAAAGCACCCTGGGACCCCAGCAACTGACCAGCTGGCCTGTGGCCGTGCTCCCGAGACTGTTCTGGCTGGCTTGGCTCTTGGATGTCGACCTGAAAGGATTGGTCGGTCGAACAATACCGCTGCGGTACATGCTCCCTTCAAGAAACGGACGTCTCATGAACTAAATCTGCTAGCAGATTTGCTCTGCTAGCAGATTCAATGCTATATACTTTGGGGGTTAGCATCTGAAAGCTCCAACAATCAACCACTCCAGGAAGCATGCTAAAACAAAAGCACTGAGACAAAAAATCCTGTGGTAAACCCAATCATGAACCATCCCCAACTCGGTTGGTTGCTAGGTATACCCCCATTTCAGATTACTTGGGAGATCCCTATTATTGGATTTACGATGGTTTACCACATTGTATGTATATATATATATATATACACTATTATATAGATAGAGAGAGAGAGAGAGATCACTATGGATTCTGATTCCCTGGCATAATCTCTCCAACTTGCAGAATGTCAAGGCAACTCCCACGGTCTTTTTTGGCCGTTGGAAGCGGCCGGTCCCTGGCCGGAACTGGATCTAGTTTTGTTGCTCCATTCCTCCATAGCGATAGGACTTGTGGTGGAACTATCTGTAGTTCAAGGGGGTTACAAAACTTATAACTGGAGGGCCCCACCTTGAAGTTGATATTTGTGTCTCACTGTTTTTGATACAAGGGTTTTATCCTGCATTTGTCTTCATCCTATGTTTGATTTATCAAACTATAGATACAGGATGCTCCACTGCATCCCCTGTATATACAGTTGATAATTAATTTCAGTACCCATTTGGGCATGGATACCCCAAACCATGCTTTCTTGACAGATCATTTCTTGTTGGGGTCTCCCATTTTGTCGAGAAATTCTAGAGGCGTTATAATAAAATATAATATATATATATGCTTATGTATACGAATGTATTTGTTTTGAAAAATCCATATACTTATGTATACATATGTATATTCTTAAATTAATGTATATGTATCATTATATAAAAATAATATATATATAACCATATATACACTACGTGTATATATATATAATTGCACATAAACATACTATAATTGTACATATTTTATATTATATATTAAATATATATTATATTATATTATATATATTGGGTAGATACTCCCTTTCGTTGGCATTCCCTCAGTGCTCAGACTCTGAGAAAATCTTGTCGCCCAGCTGCGAGATTCGCCCGAAACGACCAGGACTCACGTCCACGTGGGTGACCTGGCCCAAGTGGCTTCGACCCACCGGTCACCTTGGGATGGTTTGATGTACCGGGTAAACGTTTAGATATGGAGAAGCCATGGTTTCCAGTTGGAAAAATATGAAAAATCATCTAGAAATGGATATACTCCCATGGTGGCTTGAAGCCACATCTATCTTAGTTTACAGGAGGGTACATCTATTGATGGAGGTAAATGGAGGTAAATTTGATCCCAACTATCCCCTGACAAGCACGAACCATCCGATGTGTCTTGCCCCAATGGTTGTAGTGATTCTTTGGTGGGCCTTACACATGTTTGGTGGGATACTTTGAAGGCAAAGGCAGTGGGCATCAGTTCTTTCAGTTCTTTCAGCTATCAACTATAACTTGCACGGGCATGTATTGGGGATATTATACCCCGTTACCATCCCGGAAATGAACAGAGATTCTGCCCAATAGAATCAATACAGCCCTCGAAAAAATAGTTATCGGTGTATCCCATTGCATCCCATTTTTCGAGCGTATCCCATGAATAATAAACACATTAAAACCCATTATAAAACCCTTGTCCCATTCCGCAATGTTTAAAAAAAATCTTAAGGTATGGTCCCAATCATATGTGCTCTAAATTTTTTCTACTTCCACCATGGTTTCTAGGGGAATGTTCAATATGAACGGGGGAAGGGATAATCCCATTCTACGCCCATTCCAACGAACAAAAACAATGGGACATCCATTAAATCAGATGCATTTCAATAACTAAGTTCAATTTCTGCAAAGCAATTCCCATTAAAAGAAACACATGAGCATTGCATGGAAGTTAAAATCTCACCCCATTAGCCATTAGCCCATGAATAAACCGTTCCAAGCGGTCCATATGGAATTCTTGGTCCCGCACTGCATGGCGGCTGAGCCGCTGGGAGGTGCACAGGCGGCCGCGGAAACCCAGCGGGGACCTGAAGCCCGGTTCGCCCGCCCACACTCAAACAATACATCCAAATAGTGTGATATACTTATATCTTATCACCAGAGGATGAATGAAAACACTGGCTATACGCAGTGATTTTGATTTTAAGTTTTCAGGATTCAGGGTTTTAATTTAGGGTTTAGAGTTTTAGGTTTTAGGGTTTTAGGGTTTTAGGGTGTGTTGCTTTGGGCAATAAAATAACTTAAACCCTACGCAGGGATTTGAGCATGTCAAAGGATATGCGGGATTCGCCGCGGGCAAACCTAGGGTTTGCAGCAAACATGTTTTGATCTGCTTTATATAATGTGAACATTCAATTTAGCTGTAGAATTGGGACATGATTTCCTGAATAAAACAATTTGACTCTTGGTAACATCCAGTGAAAACTGTTGGCAAGATGTTCGGTTTAACCTAATTTCCAATTTATCCATCCAATTAATTAAAGTTTTAGTAAGTTGATCAATGTCTAATTAAGTTGATCATTGTTTATGCAAGATTATCACCAGCGGCACAGCAGTGTTTTTTTTCTGGCTTATAAGTATGTGTTTCCTTATGTGTCCGTCCAAGCATAGAATTCCCCCAGCCACAACTTGGTTCAAAGTTCGGGGTCATCTTGGGGATGGTAAACCCTAAACCCATACAGAGGTTTTCAGTTCCGACCCACACCCATCCCATATTTTTGGTGTAGCAACTTCTCCGTCGACGTATCTCATATGCGACTTCGTTTGGATGACGGAACTATGTTGCTCAACCACTCCACTGGACTTTGGAAGCTGTAGATTTGATGACGCGCTGCAACCATCGAACGCACCAACCCTGATTCTTGTGACTGAGTCGGCTACGTTCCGATTCACCCCTTAAATCCATTCAAAACCCATTACAAGGTCCCCATTTATATCACCCGTTATATGTGATTTTCCGGGACAAACCCAGACTTATTCCGTATAGATTTTGTGATGGGTTTACAAAAACACTGTTTGAACAAACCTATTGCTTTTGACAGAACGGTTGGTGTCATAGCATCCCTGTCATTTTTTTCCACATGTTTGCTGATTAATACCCAGTCATTATCTTGATTTTTCCTGTTTTTCTCATGATATTCCCACGATATATGGGTTTGTCTAAAATTTGAGTAGTTACCCCTAAACTTCAATGGTTTATCATGATCTTCCCCATCAAAAATTAGCTTCCTGAGCTTCCCACGTGGGTCGAACCGGTGAGGGCCCACCAGCAGCCCTGCGAACAATGGGGATTTCGTGATTTAGCTAGGAACATACTGAAGAAATGCGATTCGGGGAAGTGTCAACACATGTCAAAACATGTCAAAACCACTTAAGACTTATACATGTTTGGGGGGATGAACATCCATTTGCCAGTGTTCAACAAGGTAACACGCTTTTGTCCCTCAGTCGTTTAGAAAGAGCTCATGTTGAAAGCATGAGCCAATATCAACCAGTACATTAGGGGATTCAACCAAGAACCTTGGGGATTTCCCTGAAACTGCTTTTGTATATGCCCAGAGCAACCATACTCACTCTTGCATCATTCAAACTTGTGGATGCAGTGACAACAACCTCAAACCATGTTGCTTCCTGGGGTATCTGGACTTGAAAATAATCCAGCATTGCACTCCATACCCTCCGGTAGACTAATATTAGATGCGGAAAAGCCAGCAATTTCTAGATCATTTTCCCAGGCAAACCATGGGTTTTCCACATGTATCATGTATCTATGTTAGTTTACCATAGGGTAAATGACAATAAAAACTGATAGGTGGTGCACAACAATATGAGATCGAAGACAAGGTGGCTTGCCAAGGTCCTAGCCCTACACCTGAATTTCACATGCCCTTTTTTGTGTCATATCCAAAAAAACTAATCTTCCAGACTGTACTCTTGCATCTTCCATATATTTTAAAACATGCTAAAAGATATGATAAATTTAGAGGCTCGGACTTGGCTGAGTCCGGCAGCTTCCGGTGATCATCTCTTGGGCCGCTAATATCAGTGAAAAATCACAGGGGTATCCCGCATACCCAATTGGTGATGTGGCTGAAATTCATATCCCAGGAAAAATCAGAACCAATATTTCGCCACAGAGTCGTAGCTGTGTTTTGCCAACTATCCAAGCATAGGGATCCCTAAGATCGAGAAGCGGTTCCAGGTATAGATGACGGTTTTTTTCCCTTCAATTTCCAGCTTTCCAACTTTTCTATTTGGCAAATAGCAATGTTCTGACGGTCGCTGAAATCGTCGTTGGGCCTCACTTGGATCTTCTTCTCCCTTGGCACCTCGCGCTTGGGGGCGCTGGTTTTGAGTGGCTCGAATGGCATTCGAAAACTGATGGAGAAATTAGGGAAGATGAAACATAAAACAATTGAATTTAGGCATATGGAGGTTTCCATAAATATGGGTACCTCAAGTTCGCTGGATGGTTTATTTCATGGAAATCTATCTAGAATTGGATGATTTGGGGGTACTCCCCATTTTAGGAAACCTCCATATGGAAAATAACGACATCCACAAAAATGAAAGCAGCAACCATTGGACCATGCTGCCTTGGACCTGGACTTTCTAACCGTTTTCTGCGATGGAAAGCATGAAAGCCCGTGCCAGCAAAAGATCAACATCAGAGAGTTCCAGAGATTAACTTGTATTGTTCATATATATTTGTTCAAATGGTCAATAATTATCAATATGTTATCAGTGACTACAACTAACTACTATTCGAAACTTAGATGGCTACTAGAGAGAATAGCGTATTTACCACCTATTCTTGGTAGCCATTCACTTGTCTGGACCTGACTACGCAGCCACGGTTTATTCCACCCCTGCAAGACATGGAGATCTTATACCCTCATGCCGGATCCAACAAATACCCCCCCAGGCTTTGGTAAATGATCCTCATGTTTGATAGCTCAATGTCCACTTCTGCGGGTTAAGATTCCTTTACCTGGCTCAGTATACACATCTTTGGTAAGATGAACCGCAAAGATCATGTTTGTCGATAAATGATGGATTTGTGGTTGACTTATGTTGATAACATATATATATATATATATACACATCCAAAATCATCATATGGTCAAATCCGAATCCCCAAAAAACATGCGGACCCGAAAGGTCTCGCTGGGTCTCGAGGCAATTCGGCGCTCCGGCTCTGTATCTCTTCGGTGGCCTGGAGTTGCCCCGCAGGTTTCCTAACATCATGGGAGATCCCCAATAGGTGGATGGATTCTTTCATGGAAAACCTATTAAAGTGGATGATTCCGTGATTCCCCTATTTTAGGAAACTACCTTTTGTGTATTCCATAGAGCATTTCCATAGATTTCCATAGAGCATTTGGGTATAATTTGGGTGCAAATCCATACGGCAAATGAATTCCTCTGAAAACATGTTTCCACAATTCAGTGGTTGATGATGATGATGATGATGATGATGATGATGATGATGATGATGATGATGATGATGATGATGTCCCTTCTAAAAAATACAGAAAATACAATCGCCAATCAAAGATACACCCCATTTTCAATCATATCCAAACCATCTTAAGTTGGTTATATCACTTTACATTATACATATATATATATATATACCATTCATGATTAATATGCCATGTTCTCACCATTTTAAATGGTAAATGCCCATCCAATAGTTGGTTGTATCCGATAATCTCCCCATGAATATCCCATTAAATAAACATGTTCAATGGACAAACCCACTACTTTTTGCTGACGGTTGATGCTTAAATCCCATTCACATACTCCATGAAAAATCACCTTTGACTCACCATTAACTCTTTATTAAGTCATCCCTTTAGATGGTGCCCTCCAGTAAATGAACAGTTCGACCCTTGCATTTTTTGGGCTTGGATTTTTGCGGTTCACTGGGCGGTTCACCTAAAATCAAAATAATTAAAAAACATGCTATTTTCAGGGTCTATGGTCTATGTTAATTTACCAGATGGTAAATACAGATACAACTGGGAAATACTATGATTTGTTCCCACAGCCGAAAGGCCCACCTGGTCGTAGCAAGTTAACCACCTCCGCCTGGCAACCATGGTGGTTGGCTTTTTTGGGGAAGATTTCGTTTGAAGACATGGGAGTTGAACCAAGAAAATGGTGAACTAACAAAACTTGGGATATTTAACTCATCTAAGCAACACACAAGTTTGATTTACCCTCTGGTAAACTAACATAACTATGGAGAATCACCATTTTTAATGGGTAAATCCACTATAAACGGCTATTTTCAATAGCTATGTTTGTTTGATTTCAGTGTGAACCAACAAAATACGGAGATTCATTCAACCATGATGGGGATGTTAATTTACATGTGGATTTGACCAAGAAAAAAACATGATTTAACTTTCATGGTAATCTGATCTAATGTGATCCACAAGAATGGGGATTTAGACAACAAACATGGGAACCTATAATACTGGATGTCAACTGTTTGAATGTGTCACACCCTGACCAACACGGGACGGTTAACTGCTACGCTACTGTAGAACCAACATGAATTGCTGGTTTAAGGCCCTTGATGTTTTTTAAATAGGAAACTCATGGAACATCAAGCAATCAAATAATATAGAAAAATGATGCCCAAATGAAGGGATAGTTCAAAATGATGTTTCACGAAAGTTCTTTGCAGGAAGTTCAACATGAACATGGAAATCCTTCATCTCCAAATCAAGCAAAACCAGGTATTTGTGTTGCAACCCAATTGTTGAGTTTGGGGAAAAAGACTTGGGATGTCCAACAAACTACAGCGGTTTGGAACATTTCATTACTAAGTATGCTCGTCTCCCACAAAGGTACAGGAGTTGCTCAGACTGAGTTGAACCCTAGAATCTAGAATTTTCCATTTGATGCATGTTTGATAATCTAATCATCTACCAATAACTTACCAACTGAACAGTGTTCAAAAGCCTCTGTCATCCTGTCCTACCAATTGGGAAGAAAAAAAACTGGATTCCCACTATGAGTAATAAAAATACCCCCATAAACCAGTTATTCTAGGACCCTTAAATTTACCTATCAGCCATTAGTTATCCATTCTGATATGGTCGGTGCTTAAAACCAACCGGATCCTGTGGCCACCCACCATCTTGGGACGTCTTGAGGCCACATCCAGAAGCTGAAGCGCGGAAGAGCGGCAGTGCCGGGTGGAAAAAAAATGGGGGATGTTCATAGATTGCCACATTGTGATATGCAGGAACCATAAAACAAAAACATATTTCATTGTATATCTAAACGTATATAAGTGTATATATATATATATATTGTCATTTCATACATACTGCTGGTTGTATTGTAATATATATCAAGCCCTCAAATTTGAACGGACATGGCAATTTCATATCAGTGACACAACCTATCTGAAGTCCCACGGCGAAACAACAGACTCACCCAACCACAAGATACCCGGAATCGAACACTTTGCACCAAGAAATGTCCTTTCGCAGTTACAAAGGTGCAACAAATAGTTGAATCATGGGAACTGGCAAGGACAACTACTAACGTTTTGACATGCAATCAGTTGAGTTTGGAACTGAGGTTCCAAACTGTAGAAATGGACTTAGGTTGTTTCCATGTGTCAGAAAACATATGTATATACATATATATATAATTATATATATATAATATAATATATATATATATAATATACTATGTACATAATTATTTTTTTTATATATTATAACATACTTACTTTTATATGTAGGTATTTCCCGAAATAGGGGGTTGCCTCAAACCCATGGAAACCTTAAGTTCAATTTTGGATGGTATCCCTATATGCTGCGGCCAAAAAGGTGGAATTCCTATATTTGGCCATCCCACCATCAAAAGCACATATGCTGGGTGTTCAAAACACGAAATGTCATTCGATTCTATTGGTTGCTTAGGAACGGTTTACCCACCCCATGGACGAAGATAATCCTCAACATATGTATTGAGTAGTATGTGCACCCCCCCAGAAAAATACTTTACTTCGAGTGATCCCCACCGTGACATTATCTTGTCATAGTTTCTGACACCTCATCTGGAAGTAGAATGAAGTATATATGGCATTTCTTTTCTGACATTCTGGCATTCTATCCGACATTCTATTCTGACATTCTACTTTCGCATCCTTTCTAGCATCTATTCTGACATTCTATCTGGCATTCTGTCCGACTTTCTATTCTGGCATTCTACCTGGCATCTATAAAGTATTCTGACAGTGTGTCCGACACGGCCACTGCCGGACCTCAACCGGTCCGGCAGTGCCCACTGAGCTCTGGAGCTCGCAGTTGAGGTCCGGCAGTGCCCACTGAGATCTGGAGCTCGCAGTTGAGGTCCGACGGTGCCCACTGAGATCTGGAGCTCGCAGTTGAGGTCCGGCAGTGCCCACTGAGCTCTGGAGCTCGCAGTTGAGGTCCGGCAGTTCGCAGTTGAGGTCCGGCAGTGCCCACTGAGCTCTGGAGCTCACAGTTGAGGTCCGGCAGTGCCCACTGAGATCTGGAGCTCGCAGTTGAGGTCCGGCAGTGCCCACTGACATCTGGAGCTCGCAGATGAGGTCCAGCAGTGCCCACTCAGATCTGGAGTTCGCTGTTAGGAGGAGGAGGAGGAAGAAGAAAGTATCTCTGATAAAATCAGAGACCCTCACTTGGCAGGTGCGGAAAAACAACACATCACCCAACAGGGGTAGATCGCAGCCACTGCCATTTTGAAGTGCCTGTGTGGCCAGCAGACCCAGATCATGCGCCCGTTGCATGGTCTCTGCCAAAGCTTGAGCGAGCGCGGGATGCGAATGGATGGGCCTCGGAGAGAGAAGGGTTGAACTATGGAAAACTCCTAAATCCGTTGGATTATCATCATTACATGTACCATTTTTGTTGAGCCATTTAGGGGTTGTATACCCCATTTCAGGAACAATCATGAAGTATTAAATTTCACGAGCTCCTGGGATTTTGTGATTTTTAGGGAATATTGGATATCAAGGTCAAGATGCAATATGTGGTGCAATGTACGCGCACAAGGGTGGCACCAAAAAACTTAAGCGTCATGGTTTGCACGGGTTTGCACTGGATCAGCCTTCCATAAATGGAATTGGTCCAATTAATCGTTTAGAAAAAATGAAACGGTCGGAAACGGTCGGAAACAGTCGGAAACGGTCGGAAACGGTCGGAAACATGATCAGGCCAAAACTTGTCCAACCCGCATTTTTTTAAAAATAAGCATTTCCGCGCAATGCCGTTTTTTTTTTGAAGGTCCAAAGGTGTCCAAGGGGAAACGGTTGGAAACAGTCGGAGATCGCACCTTCGCTCGGCAAAAAAATAGTTGTTTTGTAGCATATCTTCATGAAAAATGTTTGAAAATTGTGTAAAAACATGTCTTTTTTGCCGAGCGAAGGTGCGATCTCCGACTGTTTCCAACCGTTTCCCCTTGGACACCTTTGGACCTTCAAAAAAAAAACGGCATTGCGCGGAAATGCTTATTTAAAAAAAAATGCGGGTTGGACAAGTTTTGGCCTGATCATGTTTCCGACCGTTTCCGACCGTTTCCGACTGTTTCCGACCGTTTCCGACCGTTTCATTTTTTCTGAACGATTAATTGGACCAGTTCCATTTATGGAAGGCTGATCCAGTGCAAACCCGTGCAAACCATGACGCTTAAGTTTTTTGGTGCCACCCTTGTGCGCGTACACTGCACCACATATTGCATCTTGACCTTGATATCCAATATTCCCTAAAAATCACAAAATCCCAAGAGCTCGTGAAATTTAATATCATGAAGAACCGGATATATATATATATATATAGTACTCTATATATATCATACTTATATATATATAATTATATATGTGTGTGACTTAATTATAAACGAATCTCAATGGAATATCTTAGATTAGGGACTTGCTCTGCAATACGAATTGGTCAACGCAATGCCGTTAACCATCCCCATTGACCAGCTATCAATTGGGGTAATTTTAAATCATTCTGAATGTATAGCGGATACTTGGGTAGATGTGTGTATATATATATACATATTTATATGTATATATAAGTTTACACAATTATATATATATATATACAATATATATATATATATTAATATATTAAAATATAAATAATATATATATATATTGCATTCAAATCCAATAATCAATACCAATTGAGAATGGCTTATTGCGGGGTTTACCCCGACAATTGTTACGCCTTGCATGTCTTGCACGTCTTGCACATCTACATATCACATTAGATCAATCTTTAGAATGCATTAGAATGCACATTTGCAAGACAACAAACATACATGTGAGGGATCACGTTTCTGAATATCAAACATTCACTGTGAGTTGAGAAAACCCTCAAGGATGCTCACTCGGATACCTTGGTGAACTTCGAAGCCCAAGCGACTGCTTCACAGTCAAAATGATGACCCCAAACTGCACGGTTAGCAGAAAGACAATCTGTTGGGTTCATTGAATTGCCCAAGTTATGACTGTTTCAATGAAGAATATGAATTTGCCAAAACCTTTGAAATCCCTCCATTTCGGGCAACCTTACTAAAGCCTAGACCATTTATTTCCGGATTCTTGTGTACATTTGCTGATCAAGCCAGAAATCCTCTTGCTGCCCGGAAAACGCTACGCCAAGCTGCATGTCCACACGACCAAGTCGATCGGCAACAAAACGGCCTAGCAGTGCTGCCAGCACCAGTTGGGGGAGACTTAGACTGGTGGTTGGGACATGTTGGAAAGTCACAGCGGATCATCATACCAGGTATGATGGAACATATATCTTGAAAAATAATGAACAATAATAAACAACATATTTTCGAACCACCAAACAGTGGATCTCAGTAATCAAATGATTCAATTGTATTCAAGAGCAAATCCAGAGGAAACAATAATTCACGTTGTCATATTTTTGTCACTGAAATATGGCATCATTTGGACTTACCCGTGATCTTGCTGTTGTTTCTCTTCAAGAGATACAATGATCCAAGGAACTACTTGAAAGTTCAATGTAACATATTGAAGGGTCAAGGGGTCGGTGGGCGACCATCTCAACTCTCAAATCCTGAGAATCACCCATCTCAAAGTTGGAAAGACTTGTCTTCCAAGCCCCATGGCAAGGTCTATGTTCGTCGGGGACATCACTGGAATCCACATCATCCTATATCTGGTGGTCTCAGATGGTCTAAGCCTCACAACCCCATGTCATTCCGGTAAATTATACATACATACATATGTGTATATATATATAATTATATATATAATTATATATATAATTATATATATAAGGCGGTTTCCTGAAATGGGGGTGTCCTGAAATGCTGGTACCCCAAAATCATCCATTTTATGTTCGGATTTTCCGCTGTAAACCATCCAGCTTTTGGGGTACCCCCATGACTATGGAAACCCCCATGGCATCTCCGCCTGTAACCATCTCGGTGACCAACAGCCCCAAGGCCTGCCGTTGCTGTGACCAACAGCCCAAGCACACCATTTTCGTAGGACATGATAGGATTTTAACAGATAAAGATGATGATGATGATGATGGTGGTGATGATGATGATGGTGATGATGATGATGATGATGGTGGTGATGATGATGATGATGATGGTGATGATGATGATGGTGATGATGATGATGGTGATGATGATGATGATGATGGTGATGATGATGATGATGATGGTGATGATGATGATGATGGTGATGATGATGATGATGATGATGGTGATGATGATGATGATGGTGATGATGATGATGGTGATGATGATGATGATGATGGTGATGATGATGATGATGATGATGGTGATGATGATGATGATGATGATGATGATAATGATGGTGATGATGATGATCATGATCATGATCATGATCATGATGATGATGACGATGATGGTGATGATGATGATGATGATGATGATGATGATGATGATGATGATGGGTTGGGGCGAACATGTTTTAACTATCAACATGTCGATCTACTCAATTTAAATTATTAATGCACTATCTGGGTGGTTGGAAGGAAGTTGCGGGCTTTCAACCATCAATTTGAGAACACCAACAGCTGGAAAATAGCAAGAAACGTCCAAGTTGATTCTTCTGGGGGGCATGGCATTTGGGAAACCTACTTCATCTTGAGTCTCACGGGCTGGGAAGCAACCGGATTCCGCAAAGCAGTTCGGCATTGGCTGGTCAGAAAATGAGTAACCAAATCTTGAAATTCAATTGGTGTAGCAGTAACAATCGTAACAATCAGAATCACAGATCATTTCAGCGTCCAGTCCATCTTTTCGCTGCATAAATGCATCGCTGCATTGAGATTGGGAGACTGCCTAAAAATGCTCGAAACTTCTAGCAGATGGGAGATCATTCCACTATCAACTCATGTGACATGGATTGATTTCTACAGGAAGTGGACCGGATGTCCAACAATTGCAGCACACAAAAGTGATGGCCTACATTCTGGACATTAGGGATGGCCTCAATCGATCATATGCACGGAACTGGATTGTTATCCCGCTTGCGGATCTCATTCAGTCCATTTGAACATCCCATTGATCCATTGTCTGCTGGGACATCCATTCAAATCCAATGTAACCATTTTAACATGATGTTCAAGATTGGGATCGGAAGCAGTCAGTTGCAACTATTGGTTTGCGTCCTAGTTGTGTCAACTTTGTTTTTTCTATGTTTTTTGTGTCTGAAATCACTGGCTGGACGATCCAAGTTTACATAAAGCTGGGGTCTGTGTCCTTTTTGGGATGATACATATGTATACAGTATACATCTATCGTCCTATCTAATCGAATTTATTGATCTCTCTACATGTAAGTATGATCGTGCACATGTATATATATATATATACTGTATATGTACACATGATCTTAGATGCAGGCACCATATCTAAGCAACCCTCATCTCTAGCGACGTCAGCCAGTCAGGTCGTCATATTTCACCTATACATATAGGCATATAGTCATATTCATATCACTATGTATAACTATAATGAAACAAATACATGATAGATACATGTAGGTATAACAACATATGCTACATAATTACATATACATATAAAGGATTATATATATATATACATAGCATATTGTTTAATACAGCAGTATATCACCCACTGGTGATTTAACATAGCTATGGCAAAAAAACACATTTTTCAATGGGTAAATCCACTATTTCGACTGGGCCATGTTCAATAGCTTTTTGTATGTTTACCAGAGGGTATATCCCATTAATATCCCATTGCATCACTATAAGATCCCATTAAATAACTATAGATCCCATTAAAATAATATAAATCACCATTAAATCACTAAGTATCGATCTACGCACATGAATTTAGGACGGAGAAGATCACCCAGAAATCATCCTGAGTTCCCCACCCATGCGTCATCGGAGACATCCTGCGGAAGTCCTGGGACGTGGAGCTTCCAGGAGACCAGTGGATACCTGTGAACCCTCTAGTAACTTTAATGGACATTTAACATTTGGATTTATAGCTATCAAAAATGGGATCTTATAGTGATTCAATGGGATATTAATGCGATATACCCTCTGGTAAACTAACAGTTCGCTATTGATAATGGCCATAGTCGAAATAGTTGATTTACCCATCAAAAAATGGTGGATCTTCCCATAGCAAACTGTGAGTTTACCGGGCAACCACAAAACTCACGAAACATTTGGATTGGATTTGAAGTAATGAACATGAGAACCTGTAGACTTGTCCCAAAGCTTGGGATACACTGATGGTGTAGGGGCCCTTGTGTGAGACCCCAACCAGCAGCTGTACTAGGCATATCCACCATGGTGACTCTTCCGAACGGACACTGATGCATCCGGTGGAATCAAATTTAGCGCAGGCAAAATTAAAGATCCCCGAGAAGTAGCTCGATGACACCATTAAGAACTCAATCTGATTATCTAGTTGGACAGTTTGGATAGCTCTGTTTGATTATCTATGGAAAATCATCATTTTCAATGGGTAAATCCACTATTTCTATGGCCATTTTCAATAGCTATGTTTGATTTCTCTGATGGACAGTTTGGTTTCCACACTTTTTTCAGATCCTGTGAGGTCACATGCAACAGTATGACCCACTGGAAAACCTGGCAAAAGCGGTTTAACACTCAGAGAATCAACATCACAGCAGTGGCGAATAAAACAGTAAACCAATTAAGCCCATCATGTCTTTCATCAATCAAATAACAAATGAGAATCACACATATGTGTAACTCACAAAAATCCACAAAGACACAGCATCTGCATCTTCCAGCCCTTCCCAGTCCTGCTGCTGCCTCTGGTGACATGTAGGGGATGTTCAACCTCTTATTCAGCATGGGCCTCGTTGGACTTGATCTGGCAGCCCATTGCAAACATGGCCCGTTTCTTTGAAGGTGGTTTGGAGGCCAAACATGCTAGGCAGGCGATAGAGTTAGAGACATTGTATATCATATTATATCATATGTTTTCATGAAGTTCTATGAACATATTGAATACGAGTATTATATTGTCTTATGTCTTATGTTTTACTAAGTTACACTATATTGTATTATATTATAATATATTACAATATGTTATATCATATATCTGTATACATATATATATATATATATAATCTATATATGGCCTGATATTTCTATATATATATATATTATATATATGGCTGGTGATACATGGAGATGTATTTTGTTAGAACATGTTAAAAGTATGAGTTTGTTCCCTGTTGTTTTCCTTATATAAAACAATCAGCTGTGAACATTCGCAGGGCCCATGAAAACAACGCCAAGTACCGCTTAGAAGCTTGACCATCAGTTGGCCAAATGCCATACACTTAGTTTATGTTACCCCATGTAGCCATATACATCCATAGACTACTATAGACATATCCAGGTATCCAACATAAATCCAACAGTAAACTCATACACCAAATTCCGAATCATACATCAAATTCACCATCAGATTATTTAACATAGCCATGGAACATGACCCATTTATAGATAACTAGAATGATGATTTAACAATTTAACATGGTGGTTCTCCATGGCTATGTGAAATAACCAGATGGTAATACGCCATTATATAATCACAATTAACCACCATTAATCACAATTAACCACCATTACTCACCATTCACCACCATTACTCATCATTCATTACCATTCACCAATATTAATCAAATGGTAATACGCCATTAATCACAATTAACCACCATTCACCACCATTAATCACCATTAATATGCCATTAATCACCATTAATATGCCATTAATCACCATTAATATGCCCTTAAAATATACCGGTAATATCCCGTCAATATGCCACTAATCACCGTTTTTTGGCAGGTGAATGGTCTCCCTTGGCAGGAAACCAGTCCAGTCCCAGCAGCTTGTGGAGCCGCTCTGCGCAGCCCAAGTCCAACAAGGTCTCGGTGAAGGAAGGGATGAACTGCTTCAGATTTAATATGATTTAATGGAGAAATACCTGACTGGTTGATAATGGTGAATAATTGATCATAATGGTGAATAATTGATCATAATGGATTCATTGATAACGACGATGATTTGGGGTAGCCACTTGACTTAGGAAACCTCCATATCCTCCATATCTATGGGGATTTGTTTGGTGGATTTAGTTGGACAATGACTGGTTGGTGGTTGACCTACCCCTTTGAAAAATATGAAAGTCAAATGGGAAGGATGACATCCCATATGCGAAATGGAAAATAAAAAATGTTTGAAACCACCAACCAGATATAGAAACCATGAGGTTCAAATGTAACAGTCCACTTAGGATCATTCAGGGTCAGGACATATTTCTATTTTTTGTTAATTATGATTCATGATCTATGTGATTATCACTATGTTAGTAAGATTCTGCCGTTGGACCTTTTTCGGAGTTGCTATAAATTGGATATGTTCAAGTAATGGAACCCAATTCCTGTCAACTAAAGGATATTGTTTCCTGTTAACCTCTCTTGAGCAACATCCTCAAACTACAGTATCCCTGATATCCTAGTGGCAAATGGTGGGGGGGGTAGAATGTGACATCTCTCATTGCTGGATGTAGTTGAAAGGTGCCAAATCTTGCAGAATCAAACACTGCCCAACATAAATCATATTCTCGCCATGTGTGTAATTATTTACCATAATCATAGCATGTTCATGAACAGTTAGACCCCATGGTTGTTGTCAAATTGTTGTCTTATGTCTTGTTACTATATATACAGTACCATTTTGTTATTTAACATAGCCATGGAAAATCACAATTTTTCAGTTTGGTAAACCATCTATTTCTATGGGCTATCTATACCATGGCTATGTTAAATAACCAGAGGGTATATATATATATGTATAGTACCTCAAAATTTATATATATGTATAGTACCTCAAAATTGTTGCTTTTCCAGGATGCTGGATTGCTCTGGGTAGCGGACCACCTTGTCTGATTGCTTCTCAATGAGGATGTTTTCCCTCCAAACCTCAGAAGTTAGGCTTGATTCAAGGCACCGAAAAATGGGGGGACGACTGCCGAAAAAGGACGAAAAGCAAGGTGAGCTTGCAAGGCATGTTATTGAACGATTGTGTCTTGACTATCACAAGTCGTTTTTCAAAACCAACAAAGAGATCTAGAATCTCAACCGTCTTAAGGGGAAAAAAAACAGGTTGATAAATGGGTATTTGACTCAAAACCATTCAAAACACTGGTATTCAGCAACCCCAAAAAGCACGGACTGGATGGTCATCCCCCCGTTGTGTCTTTCGCGAAGAAACATCACGGTGAACCACGTCAGATCGATGTAACCTGCGGTTGAAACATCCCTGGGACCCCAGGTCCACAGAGCTCAGCAGGACGGAAATCTTCGGGAAGATAGTGATAAAATAAGCCATAGTCTAATTGGGGAAAAAAAAAAATCCGAGTTTTAATGGGGCTAGTTTCATTGGAAAATGTCTTGGGTATCTATCTAATCTAATCTAATCCAATCTAATCTAATCTAATCTAATCTATCTAATCTACCTGATCTAATCTATCCTATCCTATATCGTATCCCACCAAATCCTATCCTATCCTATCCTATCTATCTACATGTATCATTATATCATAATCTTTATCACACTCTCCAAAATGGTGCATAAAACAGTCCTTGTTTGTTGTATGTGCCCATTCTGAATGGTAGAAAATCCCATCCGGCATCTCATGATCATCCCAGTACCCGATGACAAAAATCCCAGCATTTTTGATGGTTGAACACAGCTAATCCCTTGACAGAATGGGAAGTAAATCCATCGCTTTGCAAAGGACAAAAAACCATTTCTGTTGATGAATTCCCCCATGAAAAACAAACTATGTGTGTTTCCTAGTTTTCCGCTGGATTGGCTTATCTACAGGAAACTCAGTTTTCCTATCAAAGAAATAGGTTTCAACCGCAATTTTTCCTTGAACACACTTCTGGGATCCACGTTTATTTTTCCAACGAAATTACAATTCTTACAAGTTGAATCCAGGGTCTTTACATGTTTTTTCCCGGATAAATCAAATCCAAATGTGTCATAAAAAATATGTATATTTATATATATATAATAACATATAATATACATATATATATATACTGTATAATATAGCATCATCATGTTCTAATCTGGTAACATCCACAACACCAGGTGTGGTGGCAGCATGTGGAAGCTACCCGCCTCGCCAAGGCTGAAGCCAACTGAAGCAAGATACGTTCCTGACCCAAGGAACGGGTTTAGGGCCCCAGGTTGGGATATCTCACCAAAATTAGAGATTTAAGTGATGAAATTGGACATAATCGTCCATAGTCATCCATGATCATCTACACATCATGATATTCCAAAGGGAAATGATAGGATCACCAGATCTGAGTTGGGTGCCCCAAGCCGTTGGCGAAGTTGCTTTATCAGCGGTGCAAGTACGGCTATGGTGGACAAATCATATGAGATATCTATAGTGAGATGGAACTAACTTATAACTGGGGGCACCACCTTGAAGGGATACCAGACAAACAAGGGGGATATTGATCAACATAAACAAGTTGCAATGATTTTCAAGTTTGGTGTATTCTGGTATGATGATGTATGATGTATTACCCAAGACACAAGAAATACTGGAATAGGACAAGAAAACTATTGACTGACGCAATCTCAAGGTTTGCTCACACACGTTTGGCCACTTTCAGAATCTTACAGTTACAGCATCCTGGGTCAACGAATTCTTGCCAATCTCATGTTTGACTTGCTTTCCCAGCCCGTTAGACGCTGGATTGTGACATGCGAGATACATAGAAAACATCGCATGCTAGTTACCTCAAGGGTGTCAAAGTCATATCTGAGGTGCCAGCCTCTCCAGGACTCCATGTGTACTTACAAAGTACCCTGTGTCTCTATACATCCATACATATACGTATATATAATGTATATAACGTATAATATATATATATATAATGTGTATATATATATATATATATATGTGAATGTAATATGTGTATATATTTATGTATGTATGTATGTATGTATGTATGTATATATATATATATATGTACCTTGACCCTCAGCAACTCATTTTTTTTAAAAAAACAGTCAAATATAGAAAACATACTAAGGTTACGGGTAAACACCGCTTTTTACTAGGTGAATTGAGAGTCTAGTTGTACATTCATACAACTTCAATCAATTTCATACATATCTTATCACATCATGTCTGAAAAAGCTTTGGGTGAATCGTGTTGTAAATACTGGTTGACCTAAAGAAGTTTCCGCCATTCATCATCTTAGAGACCTCAATAGTTAGACAAATCACAGGAAGATCATCTTTCAGTTCCCAGTCCGCAACGAGTGGCAACGAAGATGATCTACATATGGTCATATGGGGGTTTCTTTCCTTGGGGGTATCCCCAAATCAGTCAAAATTAGACAATTTTAGTATTGAAACCAATGCTTTTGGAGGTACCACCATTGGAGAAAAAAAACATATGTATATATATATAATATATACATATCATTATCTATCTATAATGAATACATTCTATGGAGAGTACTTCATGATCTGATTAAAATTTATCCCTTTCCGATCAATTCTGTGGCTCCATGTGTGCCCTTATTTTGAACCCACAACCACATGGCCATGTGGGTAAGTGAAATCCCAACTGTTTTGTTAGCTCCAGATCCTCCGATTGCTGTTGTTTAAATGATGTCAAGTGTATATCTTATTAGGTGGGTAGAATTCCCATCCTCATGAGATTCCATGACTATCTCCGCATATAAAATGGAAAATTCCACAACGCCACGACTGGGAGAGGACAAGGCGCCACAAGTTGGATAGGCATGTGAGGAATGCATTGACGAATGCGCTGTGATAATGGTTCAGCATTGGCCAAATACCTCGGATATGCCACGGCTCGTGGTGCCCTTGAAAGTTAGCATCACACCTATATTCACTGGAGAAAATTCTGATAAAATATCAATCACTGTAAAACCAGTTGTACAACATGTTACGAGTATCAATCCAGTTGCAAGCCATTTCGACCCAGCAATCATCCCGGTCAATTCAAACAAAACACGTCACAAGACAGTGACTACTCCACCGGATAACTCCATGGGTTCTCCACCGGCTGTGTTTTTGAAGACAACCAGATGCTTGTTGGGTAATCTCACCCCGTTGGTACAAATCCTCTTGATATTCCCATGCCCAAAATCATACCAATCAGCTTCCACGAAGCGACAAAATGGAGCCATCCTAGGTGGATACAAACCGTTTCTTTTTTGCCTTATACAATCAATGGCCATTTCAGGATCCTAAAATGGAGGTACCGATTCCATATATAAGGCTTATATATATATATATCAATTTTTCAGGCCTATGTAAGTGAATATCACCACAACATATGGCCTTATATGGTACAGTACCTCCATTTTAGGATCCTGAAATTCCCATTGATATAACTTATATATATATATATCATACACATCCCCTAACACACACACACACACACCCTTTTGCTGGTCGAATTACCATTGTTGATTGATTTACTGGCTCCTCGGAATCGCTTCCGGCCCTATCCCATCTCATTGGTTGATAGGTTTCCTTATGGCTTATATTTCATCATCACCAATCAGCAAGGGTAGTCATTATAATATCTTGTCCGAGGGTTATTATAATATATGTATATGTATATGTATAGTATATTATAATTCCCTATAAATTTACTAATAACTCTTCAACATTCATCAACCATAGTATTTTTCATGGCTAAAGTATCAGCCCCTCCATTTCGAAGCTGTGCTGCTCCATGACGATGCACAAAAAGGGCGGCTCAGCCTTCACGAAGGGCAGAGGCTCCCAGCTGACCATGGCCTCGATGCTTGGGGATGAAGTTTAGCCAGGCAGAGCCTACTGAACTTGTGATAACACGTGATCATGATATGGGGATGGGTCAAAACCCTGGTACCTAGTGAACCCCAAAATAGCTGGCAAATGGATGTTCATCCCCCTAAAAATGGTATCTATAGGTATTGATCCATACCCATATATAAAATAAATTGGACATCCACCTTGAACATGAGACAAAAAAATGAAACGCTCCCTGGGAAAAAAATAAAACAATAAAACTTTGAGAATTTGAAGATGAGCCACTCACGGGTTCATATACTGCGCCAGATAATTACCCTACTTATGCCTTCAAGAATAGAGGTATGATATGAGCAGTATTCGACAAAAAGGGCAAAAAGGAGCCACTATCGTATTGACTAACCTTAGATACACCAGGCACACCATTCAAATGAAACGGGAATATATATATATATATATATAGTAGCCATTGACATCCACAAACCTTCCATGGACCTTTAGAGAAATATGAGCAATGGCCAAATGAGACACCTACTGTATACAATTCAAAACCACGAGCAAGGATGTGTCCTCATCAGGATTTTGAAACTATGTGAGTGAGTTTGTTTGAAAACTGGGTACCCCAAGTCCAGGAAAATTTGTATGTAATCCTTTTCCTTGTCAAATTCATAATACATATAATATATTATATATTCCCCATTTTGCAACAAATCTATGTGTCTTTGGACTTTGGACAAGTACTGGATCAAAATCAAGGCCTCGTTTCACATCTCCAGGTCAGCCTTGCTAAGCCATGGCCACGGCTTAAATTTGGACTTACTAAGTGGTTCGTCTCATTTGGGTCTTTTTTATAAGATCAGAAAAAAAAAACACGTGACATGTACAGTACAGGTCAACATACTATATATTATTCAACAGCAGGAGGATTTATGGTGCGATAAGGCGTCATAGTATCTCCCCGTTTCTGGTTCTTTGAGTACGTCATCAGGACTCACCGCAACTCGCCCCAGGTGGCCCCACATCCACCAGCCGAACCAAACTCGGATGCTGCACCTCGCACATGACCTGGTGACCAGTGCGGGGTGTAGATATATACATATATACATATATACATATATACATATATACATATATACATATATACATATATACATATATACATATATACATATATACATATATACATATATATATATATATATGTATACATATATACATGTATACATATATACATATATACATATATACATATATTATATATATACTCTCCGGTAATCTGTTGCATAGCTATGGAAGCCATGGTTTGATTTTCCATAGCTATCATTGCTACATGGTATTTTATGGGAAAACACATATGATTTGTGGATTTGGTGATCTAATCCTGGTGGGTTTGAACATCAGGGACAAAGAATAGAGATCTTCCCTGCAAAATTTGTTTGCCAGAAGTTAACGATAACAGTAATCAAAAGCTTAAGGGTTTAAAGGTTGATTTAGGTTGATTTCAATCTATCGTAACTTCATGTCAATTCCAACCGTGCTTCAAGTTCAGAAATCTTCAGAACATGTACCCCCTGGTAATTTAACAGTTTGCTATTGAACATGGCCCATTTATGGTTGATTTACCTATTCAAAATGGTGATTTTCCATAGTTTTTTGTATCTTTACCAGAGGGTACAACGCGTGGCTTCCCAAACTTTTGCCAAGGCTTTGCCAAGGCTGATCAGGACCCAGGACTCCGAATCAAAATCTTCCGGCTCAGTAAAGAATCACACATCCCGTACTCAGTGAGAATCTGTACAGTAGAGGTATCATATATATCATATAGACTAGATATTGAGTATTCCTATTCCAGTGACTTAACATACTTTACTGTGTTATTGATCAATTGGGTAATGTTGATTATGTAAATTACATTTATTGTAAATCACGATATCTCATTATTCCCACTGTTTGTTGGTTAAATCCACTTCAATCATCTTCAATCACCGTTTTTGCTGGTTACAAACCACTTTTTTTGACGAAAGCATCATTTCCAAGGAGGCGTCCCAAAACGCGAGCGCCTGAACTTGCCCCCAGAGGCATCGCTCATCAATTCCAAGAATCTTGGCCTTGGACGTCTGGGATATCTTGGATATCTTGGATATATTGGATACATTGGATATGTCGACCTGGGAGGAAATTCCATTGGCTTCTATTGTCTTGTCGAAATGACCAAACAATGCATGATTTGTTATTCCTCCTTAACCAGTCACTTTGGCCGCTTTTATGCGGACTTGGTAGTTAACTTGGCATGATATCAACATGAGCAAAAAAAACGATCCAAAGTATGGTGTGCATCCCTCTTTCTTTCGACACACCTGTGTGATTCCCATATGATCATGACGACATACCGCATGTAGCAAGAAATCCAACCTCAGTTTTTGTCGCGGTGATTTCTCCAATGGGTCACCCCAGTGCCTTACATATGTCCCAGTTGAAATTATCTGCTTGCCTTTTGATTGCCTTCATTTACGCTAAACTTGAGAAGTCTAATCGCTGTGGATTACCATCTGATTTTCATGATCCAATTATCAGTATCTCATCAGGCAATCCATGACACTTCGTAGCAACAGCAATGGGACATCCAGGAAACATCCAGTACCGAGACTGTGGTGATGACATCTCACCTGTGCTGGCGAAATCTCGTGATGATCGTCGCCGTAGAAGGGTGAGCGTTCGCCCGGATTTTCTCGTCTTTCCCCAGGTGAGCGTTCGGTGGAGGGCTGGAACGGCCAGCGTCCAATCGGTCCAATCGGCGCGTGCTTGGTCTCAAGATTCTGTTCGTGACATGTTCATCCTTAAGTTGGTCAGAATAAACTATACACAATAAGTGTATCGTCTAGACAATTCTAGCGAGCAACCCCCCCAAAAAAAGACTTAAACAAGCATTATCCTACGTTTTAAAGTGATGAATTTGACCGGTTCGATTTTTTTTGAGGTTCCAACAATGCTACTTCCAATTGTCAGCTTCATATGGTTTTGTCTCAAAATTATGGTCGTATATACGTAGCCGAAAACTGCCCCTTTGTAATGCGGCAAAAAAACATGGCAAACCGTGGGATTTTGGGATTGCAACAATCAACCTCACCAAAGGTAGACATATATGTGATCTGTCCAACAATCAAAAAATGCAAAAGCTGGTGTTTTTTTGATTTCATACAAACAGTCAAACAGTTGCACGTGTTAGTGTAATAAAGAGGAAAACACATCTGATGCAAACAATTGTTAAATCAACAACAGATTCAAGCGTATGGCAACTGAATCCATCCAACAAAGGTGGTGCACTTTAGTTAGCTACTTAAGTTGGATAACTATTGAACAATGTTGACTGCGGTTTATGGTAGATATATCTGCACTTCACGGGGTTCACAATTCAACTTATAGTTGTATATATATATATAGAACTAAGGGATACTAGGGGAAATCACCTTGAATACCCGCTGGTAATTCAACACTGGTGGAAAACACGATGTTCAAGAATAATAGGTATATCATCGTGAGTCATCTATATATTGGTCATTTTCCATTCTATGATAAACTATATGCGTGTTTTTTACATATCATTTTTTCCAACTATATCACCATGTATCTTCATATTTATAGATTATGTTCCCCATATGGTCATTTCCTGAAATGGGTGTACCCAGTAAAAAACCATCCATTTATAGATGGGATTCGGATTTTCCATTTAAAACAACAAAAACAATATTTTGGAGTGTCCGAATTTCTGGAACCCCCCAGATCAGCGGAGTGATGTCTGAGTCAGCAACCGTCTTCAAAGATAGTGCCTTCACCGCTGCTGGCCCACCCGACCGATCCTGGGCCGATGTTCTCGGAGGAATGTGGTTTACTAAATATGATGTTCTGCTATAGTATACTATGCGGTGTTATATTAGGTTATAGTAACCATTATATATTATATTAGTTCATGTTATATCATGTTATGACGCATATAATGTTATTTTGTATTACATTGCACTATGCTATTTTGTGTTTGAAACTATATTATACTATATAAACCCTATTATATTATAATATTTAATTACATTGTAATTGTATTGTATATAGTGTATCAATATATTATTATACTCATGTTGCATTTTTTTTAAATGTCTTCATATGTCATCATATGATCTGATAGTATATTATTTCATTTTATATCATGTTATGTTAAATCATGTTATATTATAGTATGTTATGTTAAAATTCGCATTCTATATGATCATGTTGTAGAATCAAAAAATGTCTCATGATACACACATATACATATATATATATATACAAACCATTGTTGTATGAGGTAAGCGTCCGCAGGGCCGCACTCAGATGCGCGTTCCATGGAGTTCGTCAATGGGAAGGATGACATCCCATATATGAAATGGAACATAAAATTCATGTTTGAAACCACCAACCAGGCATCAATATGATTAAATATGCACCAATCCGACCAATCCATATAATTTCCGAGGTTTTTCTTCGCTCATGATGGGTAAATTCCCATTCTCCGACCTCAAACTCGGCCGCACGGTACAGCCCAGAGCCAGCCCGGCGCCTTGCCCAACAAGACAGCGCTGCAACGGCCCGTGCTCAGCTCGGCTTCGATCTGGATCTGGGCCTCCAGGTTTCCCGATAAAATTTATCATCCGCAATAAACAGAATAATGGTAGTGCTACTGGTTATATTATTATAGATTGCAGGTTATAACATGTTATAACTGTAGGTTATACTATTCTTATAATCCCTCCAGGTCAAAAAACATTGTTACAAATTGTGATAATGTAAGTGGATTGGTTAATATCTTATGGATTATCATTATTGTTGCACGAATCAACAGATGTATGTTTGATGGCTCAAATGAATAGTCATGCCACAATAAATATGTAATTTTATGTAATTCCTTAGTGCATTTATTTACACATTTGAACATGGGTCGATCGAGGCAACTCAAAGTCAAGGATATATATATATTATATATATATTATGCTATCAATATATATATATACATACATAGTTTCTAATATTATGTATATATATATATATATACACATAATCCTACAACCAATTCTGGTTCGTGGTCGAGCCACTTTCCTGAAAGATGTGCTCGTCATGTGGGAATCAGCAACTTATTTCTATGGCTGCAAAATAATAGAAAGCTGAAATCACTAATCAGAATGCTTGGATTAAATGGCAAAACTTGGATAAACCTTGAAAATCGTGTGTTCTCAGTGGGATATTTTGCGCATCCATCCTTGACCGTGCACAGATCAAACCGAGGCTTAGCATGGTTTTGCCAGCTTGTATTGTTTACAGATTTCATTTTGAGGTGTATTTACTCACTCATTGAAATAGGTATCCCCCGCTCGCTTGATTTATCGGTCAGTTCTTCATGACTCCAAGCTTGACCGATACCCAGTGAACTCTTGGTCTTGGTGTTGTTTTCAACCTTGAAAAGTTCCAAGATAAAATCTGTTCTGGTCACATCCCGAGAGTACAAAAGTGATTCATCCAGATTACCTGCATTAAACGTCATTACACATCATTAAACTCAGTTAACTTCCTTGCTTTGTTTGAAACAGTTTGAAAGCCGAAAATCTGCAGCCTACCCAAAATGGAGGTCCAAAGCCACCCCTCTTTTCAGCTCACATCCCCAAAATGAGAATAGCATCTCTTCCGATGTTGACTTACCCAATTTTGGAGATGTTTAGTATTGACCCAGCACTACAGCCAAATGGTTTCAACATGTTCCAACCTCAAACCCAGAACGAGAGTTCCCAGGCTACCAAATCCAGAGTCATGTTCTCAAACGACCCCAAACGACAGAAGCTAACGAGCTTTGTGCGTCTAGTTTTGACCCATATCATCCCATATCTAAGGTCTACATTTCAAAAAATTGTCTTTGTTTGCGGTCAAAGAGTCAAAACCATTCCAAAATGACGAGTCAACTAGGATCAAAATGGATCAAAATTCTTTCCCCATGGGTAGAGGCAGCGTTCGAAGCAGTGAACTTTGCACGGCGCTGAGGAAGAACATTGTTCTTCGGAGGCAGCTGCACAAAGGTTCGCCACGGCACTGATTCGGCTTATTAAACACCTATGATTAAGGAGGCTACCTGGGGCGGAAACCCCATGACTTCCCTTGGAAATTCTGGCCAGGACTCATGATCAAACTCCTTGAGATTCGATGTTGTCGCTGAGAAACTGTCCAGACATACCAATGATATCCTGGTTGGTGGCTTCAACCCCTCTGAAACATATTAGTTGGGATGATTATTCCCAATATATGGAAAAATAAAACATGTTCCAAACCACCAACCAGTATCAAATGATATCAGGTAATTAGTTTGGGACTGTGATCTGATGCTGAGCACCTCCGAACTCCAGTTCTTCTCTGTCACTGATCAATCGAGGTCAACATCAAGATCTCCCAGATCAACCTCCGCCAAGGTCATGCAGAAATGGTGACTTCAGGTGATGGCTGTGGCCTGAGTGCCTGGTCGAAGCTGCCGCGGAGGGTTTGTAGGGCTTTGATTGCGCGCAAACGGCAGCCTCGAACGCCGATAGTAGCAGATGACTGTGGCCTGAGTGCCTGGTCGAAGCTGCCAGTCGAAGCTGCCGCGGAAGGTTTTAAGCCTTTGATGGCGGGCAACCGGCAGCCTCGAACGCCGAAAGTAGCAGATGACTGTGGCCTGAGTGAGTGCCTGGTCGAAGCTGCCGGTGGAAGCTGCTGCAAAGCGTTTTAGGCCTTTGAGGGCGGGCAAACGGCAGCCTCGAACGCCGATAGTAGCAGATGGCTGTGGCCTGCGGGAATGCAGTCCGGACACGGTGGAAATGGATCTTTCAATATGAAACTCATCGTCGCTGATAGACTTCACGATCATCACCTGACAGACACATTTGCCGTCCAAACAAAAGCCACGACTTTGGGTCGTTGGAAAAACCACATCACGCCTTAAAATCAGCAACTTTTTGAGCTTCAAACATGTTCAAACCGCCTAAAATTGGTGAACAACTCTTACGTGTCCATCTCAAAACTTCAGTTTTTACTCCCAAATAGTGGGAAAAATGGAACAACAACATCAATATGTAACATACAAATCACAGAAACGTGAAATAGCTCAACTTTTGGACCTTGGACCCCACCTTCATCCGGTGGCTGAGCTCCCGGCCACCTCCGCCTGGATCTCGGTGCCGTTGCTGTCCGCGTCTGCCGTGGGCGCCGCCACGGGACCCAAGGGCAGCCGCAGGCGTTGCGGCCCTGGGACTCCAGGTGCACGTTGAGGCGTTCGGAGAGGGCCTGGAGTCAAAAGGATGGGCACCGCTGAAGCAGAGAGAGAGAGAGAGAGAGATATATATATATATAGCGCCGGACAACTACTTAGAACATCGTTTTGGAAATTTTTCGGTGGGTACGCGCGCTCTACTTAGAACATTTTCGGCGAATAGGGGGACGTATGTTCTAAGTGACTTAGAACATATGAGGATCCTCTACTTAGAACATGCCATCATATATACATGTAAATATATGTATATGTATACATACATACAACTTAACATTGCATATTTATATTATATATACAGGTGGTGTGATGTTGCGTTAAGATACATGGAGATGTCTATATTGAGGTATATTGAAATTATATGACCGATTGAGCGGTTGGAATGGTCCAAAGCCTACAGCGGGACGAGATTCGAGATAAATAGGTACATATATTGAGCTGAACAAAATGAGCGAATGGATCCGGATGCTCTAGGTGAGAGGCTACAATTCGAACAATATTAAAAATGCTCAGGTTTGGAAAGTTTTTATTATATGAATATATAGTGCCGGACAACTACAATATTAAAAATATATTATATATACACAGGATTTTCCAAAAATGCACGTAGATAGCTGGGGAGATTCTTACTTAGAACATGGGGGAACCCCCAAAACCTCTACTTAGAACATCCCGTGAACATATATGTTCTAAGTAGTGGTCCAGGATCTCTACTTAGAACATGTTTTGGAATTCCAAAACCAATGTTCTAAGTATATGTCCGGCACTATATATACCTGGATATTCATTGGTTACAAATTTCTTTCCAGGGCAGATTTTGGTTTCATTTCTGTCCATTTTCTGTAGATTTGCCCATTTCAATACAAAAATGACCATTTCAAGAAAAAAATCACCACTTCATGTTTTCATTTTTGAGTCATGATGAATCTGCCCGTGTATTTCCGCCCTTTTCCCGGGAATTTCCGCCCTGAAAAACCGACACATTTTTACGCAAAGTAGAGTAAGATCAGCCCAAAAGGTACGAAATCCAAAATTGACCACAGTAGTCAAAAAATGACCATTTCCAGCTCCTTCACAAGAAATCCGCCCTAAGGGCAGAAATCTTGCAAACGGACAGTGTCCTTTCCAAGATCCAGGTATATTGTATATATGATGTGTACATAAACTATCCTATATCCCTGTATACTTTCTCCTTGCGTTGATCCGAAAACCAAATATATGTTGTTTGGATGAGCTGTTCTACTTAACACTCCATGAACCAGCAAAAAAATAACAGAAATAATGTCACATCGTTGAAGTATCACCAAGTAATTATCAATCAAAAAAAACATAAAACTGGGGATGGGTCAATAATGGTCGATAGATGCCAATACCTACCAGTAGTACCGCACAAGGCGGTGGCGGAAGTTTCAAAAATAGGAAACCTATAGGAGAAATTTGTTGTTGTGAATCAGGGATGGCAGAGCGAAGCCACTGATGGACTGAAAGGTGCTTGATCTCTCTCACTCTTTCTCTCTCTTTCTCTGGCTATCTACCTACCTACCCATCTATTTTCTATGTATCTATCTATCTATCTATCTATCTATCTATCTATCTATCTATCTATCTATCTATCTATCTATCTATCTATCTATCTATCTATCTATCTATCTCTCCATCTATCGATCTATTGTTGTTGTAGTTGTAGTTGTTGTGGTTTGTGTTGTTGTTGTTGTTGTTGTTGTTGTTGTTGCTGTTGTCGTCGAAGTTAGGGTAGTTAAGTTAGTGAAGTTAGTTAAGTTAGTCAAGTTAGTTAAGTTAATCAGTGTCTACTTTTTCGACATCTTCACGTCAAAAAAGGCTCAAACCCCTCAGTTTTTTACACTTTTGACTTCGAAATGTGCTTCGCGCCACAACGGCGTGCACTTTTTTGACACTTTTTCGACATCTGAACCTCCAAAAGTGGTCCGAGACCCTCAGTTTTTAACACTTTTGACTTGGAAATGTGCTTCGCGCCACAACGGCGTGCACTTTTCGACATCTCAACTTCCAAAAGTGGTCCGGACCTGGTGCGTTTTGTACATTTTGACTTCAAAATGTGCTTCGCGCCACAACGGCGTGCACTTTTTCGACATCTCAACTTCCAAAAGTGGTCCGACGCTGGTGTGTTTAGTACATTTTGACTTCAAAATGTGCTTCGCGCCACAACGGCGTGCAATTTTTCATCTCTCATCTGGCCAGCTGCCTCCGCACCCGCCGCTTTAGCGAGCCTACTTTTCGAGCCTCCGGAGCCCCAAATCATTGGAAAAACACATTGTTTCGCGACTTTCCTACCTTTTCGCGCATCTGCATCTTCTTTCTTCTGACTCTTTCTCTTCTACTCTTCTCTCTTCCAATCTTTCTCTTCTCTCTGCCTCTGCCCTGCTCTGCTTTTCATCTGTCCATATTGTCGGAAGTTTGACTTCTAAACTTCCTTCGATCATACAAAATTTGGGAGATAAACATGGATAAATCCCAATTAATTTCATGTCAAAACCACAAGCGGTGAACTGACTAGTTGGTTAAGAACCGGATTCCCAGCTCATGGACTATGATTATGATTATTCCAAATATATTGGTAGTGAGAAGCATACCTCCAGAAAAAATAATCAACAAACCAAAATCTATCAATCATATTCCCATCCACCGATTCTTAGTGGTTAAAATTCTGCACCTTCTCTGAAAACAATGATCATTATCAACAGTACCGTTAAGAACCCATACAAAAATATACAAAACATCATTTACCAATCATTATTCCCATAGAAATCCCCCACTTACCTTATTAACACGCCAACAACAACTGTCCTGTGGGGATGGGTTCGTCACCGCCACCAAGATGTAGGTCACATCCGCCACCCAAGACATCCAGCATCCAAGGTGCAAAGCCTGGAACCTCACAGGTTGAAGGGAAAGATAGGCTGTGGGTATGGTATTGTATGGTAATTTATATATATATATATGTATGTATATATATATATATGTATATATATATATATATATGTATGTGTTTTGAAAAACAAAACATGTATATAATAAAAATCACTGATTTTGATTCAAAATTACTGTTCCTATCTTTTTGGGGTTACTTACCATCATGTTAATGGTTAATATGATACGTATATCATGTAAAGTGCAACCCTTAACGCAACACAGAAAATCCCGAATGCCCCTGATGAAAGCCTGGTGGAATGTATTGGATCTATGGGGGGAACATGTAAGAACCCCTTGTTCGACCAAGGGAACTATTAACTATATGTGTATAATATATATATATAATAATATATATATATATATGTATGCATATATATATATATACATACATGGTAAATTCAATAATAAACCATTCGCATTTGGGGTTTATTATTGGGAATACCTCAATTTTAACAATAGTACCTTCCTCCAAACATTTACCCACATATGGGCTCCCAAAATCAACAAATCCACTTAGCCAGGGTACCTAAAGGGAATTCGATATCATGGGGAAGGGATTGTGTTCGATATAGGGTGATAATATATCTTTTATGTAGGTGTAAACATGTACAATTGGAATGATGACTCAATCAACCAAGCTTGTGGAAGAATAACCTTGGGGGAGGGGCTGTTCACTACTAGAGGTCGAAACTGGGTACCTGTAGTGTTGTATCATCTATAAATAAATAAATGAATATATATATATATATCAAAACATAATAATATATACCTCATTATATATATATGTATATATGTATATGTATATTGTATATATATATATATCATAGTATATTATTTTTATATATATCATATATCATTAATATTAATTGTATTTAATTGCATAGTCATACATTACATTTATCATGATTGATTCATATTGATTCCGAGAAATTTCTTACTGCCAGACATTGCAACATGGGGAAAAAATACGAGGCACTCAGGACTCCATGAGAGTCACTTCATGCAAATGCAATCCCCTGCAAAATCTAAAAATAAATCGTGACAAGTCTGGTATCTTCCTTTCACAAATTCATGTGTTCAGTAGAATATCCAGATTTACTCCATCCAAACGGTTCCAAAGATATAAACCAAACCCAGCCTCTGGTAGTCCCGCAGGGAAGGGGCTGGCAGCGCTGCTGCTGGGTGAGACGTTGTAGAGCCGTGCATGAAACGCCTCGAGAAATTTGTCCAGAGGAATTCGGTGCCAGGGGTTGGGTTGAAGTCAGAAACATAATAAGTATCGAGATAGATAGATAAATATGTCTACATTAGAGATAACTCTCCATTATGGATGTAACTATTATATATATATATATATGTATAAGTCTATAATCATATAGTTGCAATCAACCCCAGTGGAGTTTCTATATTCTTCTATGTCTCACTCTCTCTCTCTATGTCTATATATATATATGTGTGTGTTTGTATGCCTGTATATTACCCTGAAAGTCAATCTCTATGTCTATATATATATATGTGTGTGTTTGTATGCCTGTATATTACCCTGAAAGTCAAATCATTCATTTTATTACCCACCATGGAAACACCGAGAACCAATGAGTCATAGGAAGTCTCTGGCTTATGTATGTACACTGTATACCTATATAATGTATTACTGTCTGTATGTACATATATATCATAAATATATACATGTATGTATGAATGCATTCTTCTCCTTTAGCTCATCTATCAAAACTTAAAACGTAAGACTAGACCCAGGATGAGGATTTTCCACACCATCGACTACCGGGACATCTTGGGAGCCAAACCTATGTGGTTTATAACCCATGTATGACCATATATAATTGCGGAATATTGCCGATATTCCACATATGTATATGAATAAAGACACCATAATGACACCTAATAACTTTGCACCCCAAGTAGTCTTCACTTCAACAGAAGCCATCAAATTTCTGAGCAAGGCATCTTTTGCTCCAGCAAATGCAGTGGACATCACTGGAGCTGCCAAATTAGAGACCCAAACCTTCGAAGCTACTTGGCTCCTTGGATCTATAATTGGGGCATATATCTGTTGATGTACTGTATATATATATATATAATTATATATAATTATATATTATAATTATATATATTATATATATATACATAATTATATATAATTATATATACATATATATACATTATACACACATCAAAACCACTATGGCAACTACATGTAACACCCACCAAAACGACGCAGCCCAGAGGCTCACGGAGCAGTGAGAACCAGCACATCACCCAAACGCAGGGGAGTTGACAAAGAAAACCTGGGCTGTGCGTAACGCACCCTGGTGGTACTCTTCGGTGGCTGGAAAATCCTGTGAAATCAAATCCCCTATAAATGAAGGTTCTGCTGGGAAAATCATGTATATATATATATATAAATGGGAAAAAACATTGCCATGTTTGATTGATTATCGGAGGGTATCCCAAATCTCATTTAAGGAATCTGCGTTACGTCACGGTTGATTCGGAAACCCTCAGCTCTTCATCGAAAAATTCAGGGCTTCCGAACTTTCAATAAACACCCGCTGGAAATTGCGGAGCATTTTCTAACATCTGAGTCTCTCTTCCAGAAACCATGGTTTGTTTTGGGGGACCATGTACCATGGGAGTGTTATAAGCAATATGAACAGCTCCCAGAAGTGGGGTCGATCAGGTGGCCATCAGTACATTGGCCAAGCTGCAAGAACTTCACCGATCTTCCGCTCTCCCGCTGCTTATGTAAGGTGGTGCTCATCCCAATTAGTAAACGGGGTTATAACAGTGATCATTCTGGTTGTATCCGGCTATTTCCCCTACTTCGCCTACTGATTGAATGAATTAACTGGGGTGAACGGAGGAACTAACCCAGGGATCTATCTGGGATGAGTCACCAAGAAGTAGCATGTTTAGCATCTTCATAGATATTTCTTGTCTTAGAAAAGCATCGGTCCAAACTCATTGACCGACCCAACTCGGGTTTTCCATGTTTGAACCATCTAGGGAAGCTACCATCTGCAGCTCCGCAAGCCCCTTTTTTCTACGATCACAAGGTTGCGGCGGCCACCAGGAGGCTCCAATGGAGCAGTGGCACAACCCCAAACCCTCGGTCTCTTGGGGCTGCAACCGACAGAATGCTGAGACTGGACAGCCAAGCTAAAAACCGATGCTTGTGGTTTGGGGATGTTTTGGGCGTGACTTCCATCCATAGAAAACTTATCACTAATGGTACGATGATTCATCATGTACGTTAAGAAAACTCCAAGATGAGTCTTGGACACTGCCCGCTTGGGTGGACGGACGTGGGTCGGAAAAAAACGGGTTTTGGACCCGCTGGTTGGGGGATCAACATCCCATCTTCAGGGAGGAAAACAATGGTGTCGCCACCAACCAGATACCCACTGCCGTCACTGCTGTTGCATCCATACATGGGCCATCACAAAGGAACGATCACACTCACCCCTTTGCCAATCACAGCGGGTAGTGCATCGTTCATTTCTGTTTGCTGCATGTTTTCACCCGCACAATTCTCGGGTGCTGCACACCTCAGAGGTTTTCACTGCATGGAGCAGGGAAACATTAGAGTCTCATGTGTCTTTTAGTTCAATGCTGGTGTGATTTTTGAGAAGTGATGTTCCCAAACATCAACTTGGATCATCACACCAGCCAATAGAAGAATTAGTGGCTAATTAGTGTGTACATACATTATATACATTATATACATTATATACATTATATACATTATATACATTGTATACATTATATACATTATATATATATATATTATATACATTATCTACATTATGTACATTATATACATTATATACATTATGTACATTATGTACATTATATACATTATGTACATTATGTACATTATATACATTATATACATTATATACATTAAATACATTATATACATTATATACATTATATACATTAAATACATTATATACATTATATACATTATATACATTATATATATATATACATGGATAAATTATAAATTATATATAATATTTCAACCTGAATTAAGGCCATTTGGGGATGATTTGCCATATTAGCCATGATTTCCGGTGAGGGAGGACAGTGAGGTCGCAACATAATTTACCCATCTACATACATATATACGTGGCCAGGTCCACATTGGGGTGATTAAAGGGGTCCATACGGCGTAAAAGTGGTTTCTGAGGAAAAGATGTTTGGTTCACTTAGAACTACTGAGAACTGACAGATTTCATGGGACTTAGGTACATGTTTATACCATCGAACAAACACGAATCTTGGGGAACATCGCCATTTTCCCATTACTGGCCACGCAGTATCCCATGATCCTAGCTCTACTCACCAGCAATTTTTATACCCTCACATTTCCGCTCATTTAAACAATTTAAAGAACCATCCAAATAACTGGGTCAAAAAATCATACGAATGAGATAGAATGATGTTTTTTTGTGGCCAATAGTGGCGATTTCAAAAAAAACGTCAACTTGACCTTTTCATCCAAGCTACACGGTGCCATGGCAGTCTGCTTCTTTTTGTTTCTCTTCCGGATCTTCGTCATGGAGACTCATCCTGGGTGATTGTTTCCTTTTTTGGGGGGGATAGTTATATGGTGTGACCATTGTACACAGAAATTGAATGCAACTATATAGACGTGTATGCTGTATATATGTATATATATATATATATATATAATTGCACATATTTATATGTATACACCCTATATTGAACATGTCCTCGCTTAGGGGACTTACGAGCAAACACTATTAACCAACTACTAACTTGGATGATCCCACAAAATGTTAGTAACTTAAAAACCTTGCCACTTCATGCCACTTCCTGATCCTGATTCCAGGCATGCTCTCAATAGTTGTCAGAATATCTGAAGTGCGGACTTGTGAGCTATGGCCATGTTTGATCATGTTTGCGTGTCCGATTGTCACTGTGATTATCATGTCCACAGCGTGCATAACCCAAAACAAGGCTCTTTTCACTTTACCGAACAAAAGACACATTTGTTTCTGACAGAGAAACCACTACAGTAGGTCAATCACCCAAAACCATGTGTTTAATCAATTTAAATCAATCTGCCAGAGGAAGGGACACAGCCCAGTTGGTAAAAAAATAGGAGCCATAATTTCTATATGCAAAATGGATTAAACACAAGATTTAAAATGTTGGGAAACCTCAGTTTCAATCAATCCCATATCTGGAGCTTCCTGGAAAAGGAGGATCTAAAATGAGAAACATGGATAAACGATCAGTTGCGATGAGTATTCCCAAGATATGGAAAGTCAGAATCCAGCCATGTTCCAAACCACCAACCAGAGTACAATTATAAATTCATAAATGATCATTTATAGTTGATTTACCTACTATGACTATGGAAAATCATGGAAAATCACCATTGTTACTAGGTAAATCAACCATAAATGGCCCAATCCAGGCATCATTGGTGGCCCATCCGCAGGTGACGCTACACCAGGTGGACTCTCCGGTCCTGCGATTCCGCGGCAGGGGATCCACACGGGGAGTTCGTGTGGGAAAATGTCCATAGCAAGCCCCAACAAAAAGATAGAACAGTAACATCCTACGAAAATGGCGATGAAGGCCTTTTCTATATCTTTTTTTGGGGCAAATCGTGCTTTGACCATGAACAATATGGATTTGTTTGAGATTTGAGGGAGGTATAATGGGAGGAGATCATGTTTGGGTTGGTCTGCAAGTAGGCACCTCCAAGAAGGCCAAATGGATAAGGAAAATAGCCAGATACCCCATGCAATCTGGGGGTTACCCTATGTTCAGACCATTGTATGGGTTATTAACCAGTATTAACAATTGGAATGGCGATAGTTGATAGAGATATGATGGTAATTGATCGGATATATATATATATATATTCATAATTTGACCATCACAGTCACAGTAGGACCTAGGAAATTGGGATGGAATATAACCCCGAAAAAACATGATTAACACTTTCATTCACGTCAGAGCATATCTAAAGATTTGTTTGGGGACCCTCAAAATACCTTGAACCATTTTGCAAAAGTAGGAAACATGAACAATATGTCAAATGAGGTATTAACAATTATTAAAACACAAAACAATAATGGGTTCATACGTAGTTTGGTATGCGAAGAAATTCTAAGCACTCGCACAGCTGTGTTAAGATCTTTAGACCTGAAGGCATCTACTTTGCCTTGGCTGGGCTCTAGCCTAGGCTGCAAACTTGCCGCCCCACTATGTCCTCCAATGTGAGATAAAAACTAGACGACGGATGGCCCGAGAGCGTGGAGGAGCAGAGTCTTCTGTTGTTAGTATGGAGACACTATATTACAAGATAATATGATAAAGATGTATTATAGGCAGACGAGAAGAGTAGTATCAAGACAATATATGACTAGTACAAGACAATAGTTTGCATCGTATTTTTATAAAGTTTTTCATACACAGAACTTTTTACAGACAGACGCTTTTGCACACAGAGACTTTTACACACAGACGCTTTTACACACAGACGATTTTGCATACAGAGACTTTTACACCCAAACACTTTTACACACAGAGACTTTTACATACACAGACGCTTTTACACACAGACGCTTTTACACACAGACGCTTTTACACACAGACGCTTTTACACACAGACGCTTTTACACACAAACACTTTCACACACAGACGCTTTTACACACAGACGCTTTTACACACAGAGGCTTTTACACACAGAAGCTTTTACACACAGGCGCTTTTACACACAGACGCTTTTACACACAGACGCTTTTACACACAGATGCTTTTACACACAGACGCTTTGACACACAAACACTTTTACACACAGAGACTTTTACACACAGACGCTTTTACACACAGACGCTTTTACACACAGACGCTTTTACACACAGAGCCTTTTACACACAGACGCTTTTACACACAGACGCTTTTCCACACAGAAGCTTTTACACACATACACTTTTACACACAGACGCTTTTACACACAGACGCTTTTACACACAGAGGCTTTTACACACAAACACTTTTACACACAAACACTTTACACACAGACGCTTTTACACACAGACGCTTTTCCACACAGAAGCTTTTACACACAGACGCTTTTACACACAGACGCTTTTGCACACAGTCTTTTACACACAGACGCTTTTACACACAGACGCTTTTACACACAGACGCTTTTACACACAGACGCTTTTACACACAGACGCTTTTACACACAGACGCTTTTACACGCAGAAGCTTTTACACACAAACACTTTTACACACAGACGCTTTACACACAGACCCTTTTACACACAGACGCTTTACACACAGACCCTTTTACATACAGACTCTTTTACACACAGACGCTTTTACACACAGATGCTTTTGCACACAGAGACTTTTACACACAGGCGCTTTTACACACAGACGCTTTTACACACAGACGCTTTTACACACAGACGCTTTTACACACAGACGCTTTTACACGCAGATGCTTTTTACACACGCACACACACTTTCACACACAAACGCTTTTACACACAGACGCTTTTACACACAGACGCTTTTACACACAGACACTTTTACACACAGACGCTTTTACACACAGACACTTTTACACGCAGACGCTTTTATACACAGGCGCTTTTACAGGCAGATGCTTTTACACACAAACACTTTCACAGTCGCTTTTACACGCAGACACTTTTACACACAGACGCTTTTACACACAGACACTTTTACACACAGACGCTTTTACACACAGACGCTTTTACACACAGAGGCTTTTACACACAGAAGCTTTTACACACAGACGCTTTTACACACACACGCTTTTGCACACAAACGCTTTTGCACACACAGTCTTTTACACACAGACGCTTTTACACACAGACGCTTTTACACACAGACAAGTCCGGCACAGGAAAAATCGCAATTTTACTTCAGTTTTTGCCGATCGACCCTCATTTCGTGCGAAAGGGTTGCTCCGGGGCAAGTAAAATCGCAATTTTACCTCAGTTTTTGACGATCGACCTTCATTTCGTGCGAAAGGGTTGCTCCGGGGCAAGTAAAATCGCAATTTTACCTCAGTTTTTGCCGATCGACCCTCATTTCGTGCGAAAGGGTTGCTCCGGGACAAGTCAAATCGCAATTTTACCTCAGTTTTTGCCGATCGACCCTCCTTTCGTGCGAAAGGGTTGCTCCGGGACAAGTCAAATCGCCATTTTACCTCAGTTTTTGCCGATCGACCCTCATTTCGTGCGAAAGGGTTGCTCCGGGGCAAGTAAAATCGCAATTTTACCTCAGTTTTTGCCGATCGACCTTCATTTTCGTGCGAAAGGGTTGCTCCAGGACAAGTCAAATCGCAATTTTACCTCAGTTTTTGCCGATCGACCCTCATTTCGTGCGAAAGGGTTGACGTTTCGTGACTCGCCGCCGGCACCACCCTCGGCCTTAAGAGAGAAAGATAAAAAGAAGGCGAGAGAGAGAAAAAGGAGAGAGAAAGGAGAGAAGATGTGAAGGTGAGAAGATGTGAGAGAAGGTGTGAAGATGAGCAGATGTGAAGATGAGCAGATGTGAGAGAAGATGTGAAGATGAGCAGATGTGAGAGAAGATGTGAGAGAAGATGTGAGAGAAGATGTGAGAGAAGATGTGAAGATGAGCAGATGTGAGAGAAGATTTGAAGATGAGCAGATGTGAGAGAAGATGTGAGAGAAGATGTGAAGATGAGCAGATGTGAGAGAAGATGTGAGAGAAGATGTGAAGATGATGTGAAGATGAGCAGATGTGAGAGAAGATGTGAGAGAAGATGTGAAGATGAGCAGATGTGAGAGAAGATGTGAGAGAAGATGTGAAGATGAGCAGATGTGAGAGAAGATGTGAAGATGTGAAGATGAGCAGATGTGAGAGAAGATGTGAAGATGAGCAGATGTGAGAGAAGATGTGAAGATGAGAAGATGTTTTACAGACCCCCACTATTGGAAGAACCCTGCGCTCAGACGCTCTCGGGAAAAATTGAGCCTTCTCATGTTTGCACATGCCACACTGCCTAATATCTAATGGACTTTTGAGCAAAGCAATTAGTTTTCAGTCTTCTAATTACACATAGCCTCCGATAATTAATCAAACATGGTTTCCTAGAAAATTCCCCGTAGTACTGTAGTGCAATGACTTTTCCAGCTAGAGACCTCCATCTAGTTCGGGTATTTCCAAGCCATGTTTGATCATGTTCGATCCGCTTTTCCTATCTAGTTTGGAGTCTGGAGTTGCTATAACCATTGACATCATTAACCATCATGGTCACATTCTGTCATCCCCTTCGCCTGCTTCCTGTCGTTCATCACTTGGCCAGCTGGTCATTCATAGCTGTGGTACGGATGGAACATTTAGATGTTTTGGATCCAGTTCGATGATGAATCCCGAACTGAAACATGCTGATTTTCCAGTTCGCAAACTTTTAAATTACCAGAGGGCACTATTTCAAACGAAATTCGGACCTCAGTTTGTTGCAAAACGCATCATATCCCCAGTTGGGTTGTCCAATATCGACAACGAGACAATGCTTTAAACATGAAGTTTTGAAGGAGTTTGCCACATTATGCGTCCAGTGACCATCTTTCAAGTCTTATTTTGATGAATGCATTTCCTAATTCTAGTGAGTCATTTCCAGGAAACTTGGACAACAACGTTATATAAGTTGAAGTTTAACGCCCCCAAAATTAGGGGCTGATTTACGAAAAAAAAACGTGTTGATAGTTATAGTTATAAGAATAAACCCAAAACATAACCACATATAATGTGGTAAACCAAAAAAAATACAACATCAGCAAAATAACGATGTTTTTTTTGTATGAGTGCGATAAACAATCCCTTATGGCAGCCGGGGTTTCCCACATGAACCACCTTTCAGTCCCAGATTCCAGAGGGATCCCCCGTTGGTAGCACACTGATTGCGACCACGTCCGTGTCTGAATCTCCATCCCTGGGCACCACGGAAGCGGGCCGGCTGATGTCCCCGCGACGTGTTTGGCAAACAATGGCAAGGTCGAAATGGATGTAACCTCAGTGGCTGGAGCGGCTGGAGACCTAGCTGTTTGGTGCGCCACTGTTGTCCACCAATTTCAGGAGTCCACAACTTCCCACCTTTCCTGGCCGCCATGATCATCCAGCTTGTGCTTAATACTGAACACATCATGAACCATGATCATATCGGGACATATCGGGACAAACACAACGTTAATGAAGCATCAAAGGCACATGTGTGGCTGGAAAACATTTTACCACCTTTTGAGGAGCCTTTGTTTGGCAGATTAAAATTGTCAATCGTTAGTCCGGCAACATGTCACATCAAAAAGTGTCAGAAAAAAATAAACAAACAATGTGTATAATAGTACATATATTATTATATATATATATATATACACGTACATCAAACACATACTCAAGAACATGGCTGCCGAATAATTGGCATTCGACATAAAACCTTCTATAGGTGTAAAAGAATTATGGCGCAACTTTCTGCCCAGGAACAGCCTTGAGCAATGCCTCTAACACTGATGAGCAAGGAAAACAGGGCCGTCCAGTAGGCGAAATGTTCATTTCCTAACCCCGTCGATGCGCGGGGTAAACTACCCCTGTCGCAGACTAAACCAGCAATGGAATATAAGTTATGAAATGTCGTTGATGTCCTAGACTTTACACCATGAATTGGCATGTCCACTTGGCAGGATTGTTTACCAAAGGGATCCAAAGGGTAGTTCACTGCACAAAAGTTGACTCATAGTGCAGAACGCGGATAGTGATGATGTTACCAAAACGAGGTGCTTCTTCAAATTGGGAATCACAACTAGAGTCACTAAAGCATGACAAGAAGAAGAGATTGCCTTGGATGTTCAACCATTTTGGGTGTACACTTTAGACGCCCAAATTTTGGTTGGCTCCCAGTAGTAAACCCTGGTTCTACTGGGGGGTTACCCCATGTCCCATTGCCATGTTACCAGGCTCGCCCATGGGGAAGTCACCCGGGAGGAAATTTCATGCTTCGAAGATTAACATGTCCATCAATTTTGATGATTTCTTGTGTCCATCAATTTACATCTTTGTTTTTTGCCCTATTTGATCCTATAAAAGTCAGTTCCAAGAGTCCCATGTAGAACAGGGCATAGACTTGCAACAGGAAGGACAGTGTGGCCTCCCCGGTTTTTTCGTTCTGCAAGATGGTCAGAAACCTGGGCCCGACCGCCACTTGGTCTGCTGGGGGAAGTATCTTGAACTTGGAAGGGCAGCCTGAATTCCCAGAACCCCCAAAAAAAGAATACAGAATTTGAGTATATTTGAGTTCTAACACACATGACTTAAATACGTGGATTGATTCCAACTTTGAAACCTCGTGACGACTGGTTCACCATGCAGTTTACCCAGAACTCACTGTCATTGAAGCGCCACAGCACACATCGGTCCTCAAATTGGCTTTGAAGGAGTCAATGATCTCCTGGCCCGTCCCAACTTGGCTGCACGGTGGATGAATGATCCAAGAATGATCCATGTAATCCTTTCAACCTAATACTAAACGTCCCCGCCCCAAATATCAATTTCAAAACCTTAATTGAAAAACTAACATGTTCGAGTTCAAAATCGATTAAATTCCTTTTTAAACTCTAATTAAACTATTGCCAAAAATGGGATTTCGAAGCTTTCCCTTCATAGTAATTTAAAACCTTCCTTAAAAGAAAAAAAAAGTTGATTTCAAAATCCATCACCTTGTAAAATATGATTGATATATTTCCAACGAAAATTAGATTTCGAAGCTATCTCATCATATTAATTTTAGAACCCTACTTCTAAAAAAAAAATCGGTCAAATTCCTTTTTAAAATCTGATTGAAATATTGCCAAAAATTGGATTTCGAAGCGTTCCCTTCATTCTAAGTTTAAAACCTTAATTAAAAGGACTGAAATGGTCGATGTCAAGACGGACCCTAATAAAAAAACTCCCCGGGTGACCTAGTTTTCATTATTAAGGGGGTAGAACCTGCAAATTGGACCTTGGTTTTAAATTGTTTTCTAAAGGGGATCAATTAAAACTCAAATTGACCAATCTGAGTTTGCCCGAAACAAACAATTTGAGCTATAGTTTTTAATCATCTAGGGGCGGTTTAGTAATAGGGAGAAGGGATTAGAAAACCCATAGAAAGCCCAAACCTGCAGAGCCGATTTTGCTTGGCATCAGCTCTTGGAATTGGATTTCCCAGATAGAAAATGGCCGTGTTTCCTGTTGGAGCCCCAGGCTGGCTAGCCATCTGGGGACGGATCAAAACCACATTGGGCGGATGAAATGGGATGAAGAACCTAAAATCCCATGAGTTTTTGAAGCTGTGACCAGAAGAGTACCAGATAGTGGCTGAACTGACACTCATCGGGTCTTGTTTACCCATTTCTTCTATTTCAATCCTCAACGTTGCCGTTTTCCACGGTGGTGGACTTTCTGCAATTCCTTGTTTTGAAGACCCCCCTGTTCTGTGACGTCTTCGCCCACGTTGTCCTTGATGAAACAGGGTCCAAAGAAGACGTGTCTCACCAGGAAATCGACCACGCTGCGGGCTACAATGCAGCCTTGAACAGTGGCGAACCAATAGTGCTGCTTGTGGAAGTACAGCCTGGCACTTCGAGGCTGCGAATTGTTTCACGTGTGAAGCATGTTGAACCAATAGAAATGCAACAAACATATGGGAGATAAAATCTATAAACCGAACTTGTGATAGTAGCCAGGCTCTCAGGCCCCATAGAGTGAGCAGTCCGTGGATCTCAGGTTCCAGATTTTGTTCCCGGCAAAGTGATGGATGATGATGGACCGCCCTTGAGCCTTTAACTATTGCACCGAGATGATGATAAATAACACGATACATTTCAATGGGCATCTGGAGCGTCACATCTAAGTGGACAAGCATGAGTATGTAGTAACACGAATGAGCTTGAAAATAGGGACTTCATTTGATGTTTTATCATCATGGTCTTCATTAAAATGGCAATGTTGATCCATATATTGAGGCTATCCCCCATTTTCAAACAGACCCACATGCACATGTAAACCGTGGCAGTTTGATGCCGCGCCATGATGTATTGCGAGATGATCACTTCCACTGGTACATTTGACAGCAATATCAGCAATGTAGTAAGCAAAGCATATATATTATATTGTATTATATTTAATTATATTATATTATATTATATTACATCACATTATATTACATTATATTAAATCTATACTATATTTATATTATATTTATACTATATTACATTATATTATACTATATATTATATATATACATATATCAAATATTAAATATAATATTAAATTATACTATAGTTTATTACTATACCAAAAATAAAATCAAATATTAAATCAAATAATATTTTATATTATACAATGTATTACATGAAATATTATATTATATTAAATATATTAAATTATATGATATTATATCAAACTATTTACTAAGTAACATTAAATATTATATTATATCATTTTATATTATATAATATAATATTATATTATATAAGAATATATGTATATACATATATCAAATATTAAATACCATATTAAATTATATTATATTATATTATTATATCACAAATAAAATCAAATATTACATCAAATAATATTTTATGTATTATATTATGTATTACATGATATATTATAGTATAATGAATATACTAAATTATCTGATATTAAATCAAATTATATACTAAGTAATATTATATATAATATTATATTAAATATATTATATCATATTATATTAAATATATAATATTATATTATATTATATTATATTCGTTTTATTTCATATTATAAATTATGGTATATATTATGTTATATATTATCTTGAATTTAAATTTATTTTTGACTATTTTATATTACATTACATTATATTATATTAAATTAAATTATATTATATGTCATTATATTATATATGCTGCTATATATTGTATTTTATTAAATATCACATTATATATTATATGATATTATATGTTTTATTGTATCATATTATAGTGTATTATTTTATATATCACGTTATATATCACTTTAAATATTATATTGTATTATACTATAATATTATATTAATTTATATTAAATTATATTATAAAATATATTTGACTTCTCAATATTCATGAAGGCATGTCCATTGCCGGCTTGGCTATTTCTTTGGGCTGGCGCTGCAGCCATCGTCCTTCCGCCACCAAGGCGGAGGGATCGGGACTGGGCCATCCATAAGGTATCCAACAGTTGAACCAAATAATTGACTTTTTTGATGGATTAACATGGATTAACATGGATTAACTATATGGATGTCTGATGAAAATTCTGATTTTATGTTTATATGTGTTCTAATCATGTTTAATCAATAAAACATCTCACAATAAGAATATAACTAACGAATCGGATTTCAATTCGATCATCCCAGTGATGTTCAGCAGGCCAATAATGATATTGGTCAACCAAGAAACACAGCCAAATTAGCCAAATCGACCAGACCTTGAGGTCTTAACCGGCTAGTCATATACCATCATATGCCCAGAGAACAATCCTTTCAGATCAGCCAAGCAGCGACATCATCTCGAAATCCAAAACGAAATCGACCACGTAGAAACCCAGCTCCACCAGCATCATCAGGCGATTGAGATGTCCCTCAATCCTGAAACATGGGGAAACTGCATGTGCTCTGGAAAACATGGGAACCCATGGAAACCCATGAGAAAACTATGAGCCTCTAGGACTCTAGGAATGATGATGGAATTTCCCCACGCTATGCGGAAGTCTTTGACACCCCACAGCCATCAACCAGGGGTTGAGCTGTCTGACTGGAAAGTGCCACCCACTGGGTGCAAATGCAATCACTCGCATCCCAACAAGAAATAAAATTTAATTAACTAAAAAGGAAAAATGACACAATGTTTGCCTAGTCATTTTCTTTGATCTATGTCCGATATCATAATTCAGGTATATTCAGGTCCTGTATACATGGCTGACTTGGATAATCTGGATATGGCTGTACTTCAGCCGAGAAAATCATATCGCTCTGCTTAGTAACATGGTGAAAAGCAAGATAAGTTGAACTCGGTTTCGGTTTTAGCCCATTTGTTCTATTTTCTTCCGCCACTCATGATCAAAATTGCAGGCCATTGCCGCAAGAGATCAGGGTTTCTAATCAAATCGGCACTGGAAACCATGTCATGTCATATAGGGGTGTTCCATAAATGGGGGTACCCCTGAATCATCTATTTCAAAAGGATTTTCCATGAAATAAACCATGCAGCTATTGGGGCACCCCCATTTATGGAAACCCCCATATAGGCCTTTCCGGTAGATTTTCTATTAAACCAAGTCTGGAATTTCTCCATAGTTCAAACATGTCAGGAATTGGGCGGCCCCGCATCCATACTCCCTTCCATCGAAAACACTGAACACTACTCAAGAACCCCTTAATATTGGATTTAGTCATTTGGGAAGTATGGGTACATCACCAAAGTAGACGTGTTTTTTGCTTCTTCAGGTGAAATTTCGACACTGCGCATCGAGATGTTTGAAAACCAATAAGCTGTGTACATGTATAATATATTAATACATGCAATGTTTGTATCTGGAAAATTGGGGTAATTTCCAAACCTAAAATAAACGAATGTTTCCCTCCATGTATGTATGTATATATACACATTGTACACAAGTGGGCAATATGGTCTGTAGCTGTAGTAGTCTGTAGGTATGTGTCAACATGTGGCACTCCATGGCGCTCCAAATCCACTGTAGCAACCCCAACAAAAAAACAGAAACGGAACATGTCAAGAAAAAACATACAATATTTGCTGATTGGTGTTTAACAACATTATTTTTTTGATTGTTGCTATAATGTTGTTTTTTCTTGCTACCATCTGGTAACTCAACATGTTTATTGGTATAGCTGGCCCATTTGGTTCACAGCTTTACACATTATTTTAATTGTTGTTTTCCGGCTCACAAACTGTTGGAATTTATTCCATATACCCCTAGTAATCCAACCGTCCTGATAATAGTCACCGCCCATGCAAAAACTCATGGTTTGGTAAGGGATTCACACATATTTAGGACCATACAATGGGGGTGTTGAATCTTAAGGGGATGGGATTGTACCATGACATATCTCATCGATATCAATTCCATATCATCCCATTATATTTCATTGTATTTCATTTATATCCCATTTCATTAACGGGAAAGATTGTACCCCCAGTCTATGCCCATGAAAGCATTTTTTGCGGCCCCCGCTCGCGGATCTCCGCCCAGCATCCCGCAAGCGAAGGGGAGCGTGCGTTGAATCACGGTGCCAGTGGAACGGAGTTCTTCGGCGATGTTCTGCTCTTCCTTGGGTCATTCTTGGGGGATAAGATGGGCAATTGCAGGCAAGTACCATTATATATATATATATATTATATAACATTATACACATATACATATATACGTATATGAATGATGAATATGTATATGATATGTATATGTATATATATATATATAGAGAGATATATTAGTATTACATATATAGATATATTAGTATTATTAATGGTGTATAATATATATATATATATATATGTCATGAGATGTGATGTACAAAAACAACAATATCAATATGTAAATTAAACACATGCAAGTCAAAAACAAAAAACGAAATCAGTTCAATGGACCATGTATTTTTTCGGATAAATAAACGGATGGTGGTGGGAAAACCCACATGCTTCATGTATTTCATCAATTGAGCCATGTTCTAAATGTCTTACATCCAGGCACCAAATAAGGAAATGCTTTTGCCATTGCTTACGTCTTGCTTACGCGCGCACAGGTTTTGCTTACGCGCATATCTTGTCTTACGCGGAGCTTACGCTGGCTTACGCGCACCACAGTTTTGCTTACGCCACACCCTTACAAGGGGCCCCTTGCTTAACATGAACACAAGAGTTTAGAACGTGGCTCAATTGATCTGGATATCAACATGATATTTTCTCAGCCCAAGTCCCCTGATTGGACTCCTCACCACACAAAAACCACCAAGGACTTTGTCTGAACATGTCTGAACATAGGTTACCCATGCCTACCAAAACAAAAAAAACTATAGTTTCGAGCATTAAAGGACCGGATAACCCCACAAGTCAACTTCTTCCTAAAATGAGCTTCAATGGTTTCAGCGGGGACAGGGAAGGAAGGAAAGACAAAGGAGGTGGTGAAAGATCGTGTATGTATGTATGTATGTATGTATGTATGTATGTATGTATGTAGGTATGTATGCATGCATGCATGCATGTATGCATGTATGTATGCATCCGACGATGATGACATAGAGGAAAGGTACCTGGCCGCAGAAGTCTTGAACACGAATGTAGCTGGTTGTCAATGCAACTATGGAAGACACGACACAGTCACAGTCACAGGCAAACACCATGACACTAACTGCGCAGGTTTTTCCAAAGATGTCAAGCAACCGCACAGTTCAGAAACACACAGGCGTCGCGATTTTTTCCACATAAGTGTCGCTTCGCCACGCATCTGCATACGCTTCTTCCCACATTGGGTCAAAGCTCTGGCTCCCGTCCGTGTGTGTGTGTGTGTGTGTGTGTCACGGGCGACCAATCCAGTCCAGGCGCCACCCAGTGCCATGAGTGCCACGCCTGCCACGCAAAACGACAGTGGATGTGAGGTTGTGCCACACCTGCCACGCAAAACGACAGTACGCCACCCAGTGCCATCTGTCCCACGCCTACCACGCAAAACGACGGTAGATGTAAGTTTGTGCCACGCCTGCCACGCAAAACGACACTACGTGTAAGTTTGTGCCACGCCTGCCACGCAAAGTGCCACGGCGTCACAGGCGCCCAAGCCGGACCAAGCGCGCCACCCAGTGCCATCTGTCCCACGCCTGCCACGCAAAACGACGGTGGATGTGACTTTGTGCCACGCCTGCCACGTGAAACCAAGGTGGTCCACGCAAAACGACGGTGGATGTGACTTTGTGCCACGCCTGCCACGTGAAACCAAGGTGGATGTCAGGTTGTGCCACGCCTGCCACGCAAAGTGCCGCGGCGTCACAGGCGCCCAAGCCGGACCAAGCGCGCCACCCAGTGCCATCTGTCCCACGCCTGTGACTTTGTGCCACGCCTGCCACGTGAAACCAAGGTGGATGTCAGGTTGTGCCACGCCTGCCACGCAAAGGTGCCGCCTGCCACGCAAAGTGCACAGGCGCCCAAGCCGGACCAAGCGCGCCACCCAGTGCCATCTGTCCCACGCCTGCCACGCAAAACGACGGTGGATGTGACTTTGTGCCACGCCTGCCACGTGAAACCAAGGTGGATGTCAGGTTGTGCCACGCCTGCCACGCAAAGTGCCGCGGCGTCACAGGCGCCCAAGCCGGACCAAGCGCGCCACCCAGTGCCATCTGTCCCACGCCTGCCACGCAAACGACGGTGGATGTGACTTTGTGCCACGCCTGCCACGTGAAACCACGGTGGATGTCACTTTGTGCCACGCCTGCCACACAAAGTGCCGCGGCGTCACAGGCGCCCAAGCCGGACCAAGCGCGCCACCCAGTGCCATCTGTCCCACGCCTGCCACGCAAAACGACGGTGGATGTGACTTTGTGCCACGCCTGCCACGTGAAACCAAGGTGGATGTCAGGTTGTGCCACGCCTGCCACGCAAAGTGCCGCGGCGTCACAGGCGCCCAAGCCGGACCAAGCGCGCCACCCAGTGCCATCTGTCCCACGCCTGCCACGCAAAAACGACGGTGGATGTGACTTTGTGCCACGCCTGCCACGTGAAACCAAGGTGGATGTCAGGTTGTGCCACGCCTGCCACGCAAAGTGCCGCGGCGTCACAGCGCCAAGCCGGACCAAAGCGCGCCACCCAGTGCCATCTGCCCCGCCACCACGCCTGCCACGCCTGCCACGCAAAACGACGGTGGATGTGACTTTGTGCCACGCCTGCCACGTGAAACCAAGGTGGATGTCAGGTTGTGCCACGCCTGCCACGCAAAGTGCCGCGGCGTCACAGGCGCCCAGGCCGGACCAAGCGCGCCACCCAGTGCCATCTGTCCCACGCCTGCCACGGTATGTGAAGTTATTGTATGTGAAGTTATTGTATGTGTGAAGTTTGTGTGTGTTAATGTAGGTGAAGTTATTGTATGTTAAGTTTGTGTGTGTGAAGTTATTGTATGTTATGTTTGGGTATGTGAAGTTATTGTAGGTGAAGTTAGTGTATGTTAAGTTTGTGTGTGTGAAGTTATTGTATGTTACGTTTGGGTAGGTGAAGTTATTGTAGGTGAAGTTAGTGTATGTTAAGTTTGTGTGTGTGAAGTTATTGCATGTTACGTTTGGATATGTGAAGTTATTGTATGTGAAGTTTGTGTGTGTGAAGTTTGTGTGTGTTAAGTTTGGGTATGTGAAGTTATTGTATGTTACGTTTGGGTATGTGGAGGCGGCGGGCGGCGGGAGGAGGACGAGGAGAAGGCGAAGGAGCGCGGGATACAGAATCAAAAACAAGAACCCCACACAAAGATGTGGGGAATAAACTAGGGAATGGCACATTGAAACTATAGTTGCCTACAGAAAAAAACATGAACACCTAGAACCACGCAAGTATATATTACTGTAAATTTCTCAACTCTTGCCATATGACCCAAATATCACAAACATAATCCCGATAATTCATGATCAAACATCACAGAGTCTTCTGAACTACACGACGTAGTTGTTATCAGCTGTTGTCTGAAAAAAGGATATCCAAAAATCAAATGGTGTATCATACCCTCTGGTAAACTAACATAACTATGGAAAATCACAATTTTTAATGGGAAAATCAACTTATAAATGGCCATGTTCAATAGCTATGTCAATTTACCAGAGGGTAATTTTCCCTAAGTTAAAATTGCCGTCTGCAGATGCACCCCATTTTCAGACACGCTAACAAAATTCGGATATAGCTAGTCACATCCCACGATATCCTCATTAATATCCCATAATTATATCAACATGCTCAATGGACAAACCACTACGAGTACTTATTGTTGTAGATCATATTAAGCTGATGATATCCCATCATATCCCCCTTAACATCCCACCGAGTTATCATTTTTCAATGGTAAATGGCTATGAGTCAAAACCCTGGTACCTTAGGTACCCTAAACTAGCTCGTGAATGGATGTTTGTTCCCCAACAATAGGATAATAATAACAGGTTTCGAGTCATCCCGAATCTTAAGTTGATTATCTCCCAAAATATCACCATTTAAATATGTATATAATATATATATATATATATTAAATTATATTACAGTAATATCTCATTAACTCAGCCTTTTCAATGGCAAAGCATTGTTTATCCATGTTGATCATCGCCAAAAAAAGTCTGCACAGCTGAGCGACTTCCAGCACCCTTTGCTGCAGCTCCAGGTTTGGAGGCATCGCCAGAGGGTTTCCCACCAGCGCGAAACAGGCCAGGAAGAGTAACCACAACTGGCAAGGCAGAAAAATTGGATTTTTTCTACCAGAAAAATTGATTTTTTCTACCGGAATAAATAAGATTTCTACCAGAAAAATTGGATTTTTCGACCAAATCCCTAAGATTTGAGGTGCGATGGGATTTGGGATATCCAAAGATGATGTCATCTTAGCCAAAAACTGTTTGGAGTTTCAGGGAGAAGGGTATTCGATGACCAACATTTTGTCCGACATGGGAATTCACAAAAGCACCGCTTTCAATAAAACTTGGAAGAACGGGATTGCCACTGCCCAGTGCAACGTTGGCCTCTCAGCCAAAATGATCAGAGTTCCTGTATATATATAATATATGTAAATATATGTAAATATATGTAAATATATGTAAATATATGTAAATATCATGCAGATTAAAACTGTGACCGAAGGGCGCTTGTTGTTTGTGTTCAACCCCAGTCGCCAGTGGAAACCCAAAAAATTCTTGTCGATTGATCACCGAGGTTTGGCCACTGCTGTTGTATATCATATCGACACATGGTGCCGGAGAAAGAATTCAAACACATGGAGATCACCTGAGCCATATCCATGTAGTCACTGAAGACCCCCCATGATCTTGTCATGGGGTGAACATTTTCATGTTGGAACCAAACAGAAACACCGTTTCAAGGCCCTATATAAAACGAGGCCTGAGTCACCCTGCGGGTTTAAACATGACAGCCAAGTCACCCATCCGCCAAAAATCATGAGCATGCAGACGATCAGTTGGACGGAATACATTGGATCCTGCAAGTAGGTATCGAGACCTGGCGCTTGTTTGATACTAACGTGAAATTCAGCGCACCGGCGCACCGGCGCAACAATGGAGACCACCAAAACACAATTGGTATCAATTGGTGACCACAGCATCTGGCAATTGCCAGGGGGCCGTCAATCATATTTTCAAGACCCTCCCATGTGAAACGAACATGAAACCGTTCATAAATGTTCACAAATTGTTTTTATGTCCAAAAGACTCTTGACAAGAAGTGAAACAGTGAGAATTTGGCAGACCATTAACTCACGCATCCACCACGCCTTCTCAAAAGCATGTTCATCACAAACATCCTTGGTAAATCTGTGTAACATAACCTTTAAAAGAAAACATGAAAAAAAACTTCTCCTGAACCCGGCTAGGATCTAATCAACAAGCCGTAGTCCATCTCTGGGAGCCCAGCCCGCAGGCGATATTCGTAGTTCACCAGTTCTGCCATGCACTGATTGGAGTTCCACCAGGATTTACAGGACTGGCACTTGCAGAATTCGGTCCTAAGCGCGCCATAGAAAGCGCCATAGGTTCCAGGTGCCAAATTCTGTTCAACATGGCTATGTAATGCTATGTTGTATCATCCTTTGAGACAAGCTTGAACCGTTCCTTGTTTTCCCGGGAAAGCATGATCTGCTTCCGAAATCATTCCTTAATTTGTTCAGACTGGAAATGAGTTCGAAATCCCATATTATGCAAACAATGCTGAAATATTTACCAACCCAACAATTCACCTGGTCATGACATGTAGGTGTTGATATTCCAACACTAGGTCTATTCTTGTTGAACAACATCAGTGTGGTGCCGACAGCGTCTTCGTCCCAGTCGTCCCAGTCTCTGAGCCGTGAAATTCAAAATCTCGGCCATCCATGTAGGAATGTTGCGAATGCATTCCTGCGAAGCGCAGCTTGCTGACAGGTCCTCCTTCGCCCAGGTGGCATCGGCATCATCGCGGCAGTGTTCTGCATCCAAGGCATAGGAGTAACCTGGGAGACGCGGACGTCTTGAAGTCTTGTGCGTTGATTCACTGATTTATGACCTCACCGGCTGGTAGAAAATATCTACCATAAGCCAGAAGCCATTAAAAGCCAACTTAGCGTAAATCAGGATATCTAAAGAAGCAACTTCTTATCTAGGGAGCCTTGCCAGTGGAAGAACCAAGAAATGTGTCCACAAAACAAAAGGGGCAAACCCTGAAGACCAAACTTTACGCTGACTGACAGATTGGGCAAGTGGGATTTGGGGTGTTGTCAAATAGATTGGTTTTAGATGGTTTTAGATTTGTCGAAGTAAATCCGTTGTCTTTTGTGGGAGAGTGAGAGACCACAAACAGGGGAATCGCAACCCGAGAATAATCAACCCTGGCTGATAAATGGTTTTATGGAAGGGGTTTTAATAGTTTAAACACCAAAAAGAGAGAGAATCGGCTATCAAAATTGCACTACCCAAGTTGAACTCTGGATTCCACCGGATTATTACTTGCAGCTACCATTCTTCCAGACCAAACATCCAACCTGGTTGCTTTGTTTGAGCCTTCAGGCACAAGGTTGTGTTGAACCCAGGGCTTCGCAATGCTGTGATCCAGAAGGTGGAGAAACCGAGAAATTGTTCAGGTAGCGTACATGAAAAATACATGGAAAATGTATACTTTTGTGGGTTTGCGTATTGTGTTGTCCGGGGTTCGAATGGTGGGGTTGGAAAACTCAAACAGACCGCCTGGGAAGGGATCGAAGAGCGTGGAACATGCATCGGCTACAGTTACCACTGCAGTCCCCTGGGGGAATGAGGCTTTTCAGGCTTAAGTCGTTAGTCCGTTGAACTAAATGTCATACTCAAATAGTTTCTTCCCCCCAATTGATATTAAAACCCAGAAAACATGGGGTTCAAATCTAGGGGGGATAGGTCATACTTCACCCTGTGCAATGGCACCAAGCTGCACCAATAGCTGTAGGATAATCCCTCGAAAGGCCAGGAAGGGCAAATTTTCTCCAGACTCATCTGACCCTCTGTGAACAGGATCCTCAGTCCATGTGAAACATGGCACGAAACATGGCACGAAAACCTGGAGAGATGGATAGAAGCAAAATGGCTGGATCCATGATTCCATGATCCTTAAAAAAAACAAGTTTCCATGAAGTATGTGAGACGGATGGGATTACTCACTTCTGCTAATTACTGTGTTAAAACCAATGAAAAACCATTATCCCAAACTGGGGCGTCTTGGGCATACAATTTGTTGGCAAGTTTGGGATGAAACAAGATTTGGCTTATTGTTGGGTTTTACACATGACTTTCACAAGATCAACGTTGACATGGAATCAATGCTGCTGGAGATGGAGCTGTGCAAAGTTCTTCAAAGGTTTTCAACATGTCAAAGCAATGCGCCATTTGAATCACACAAGATCCTTCACATATCCCAAGATGGAAAAATGCTGAGGATGCCCATCGGCAAAGAACACATCTTTTGTCTAAAGACACCATTTGCCTTTTGTGTCCGTCAAAGTCCCATTCAAAAAAAAGTTGTGATGAACCACAACAATGAATGTGTTTCACGAAGCCAAAACGTGTGCATCTATATTTATGCATAGGCACTAGGCACGCAGTATATATATAATATATACACATACATGCATACTTACAATACAACGCAATACGATACTCTACATTAAATTGCACTACATTGATTACATTGCAATACGCTGCATTGCAGAACACTACACTAAATCAGATTTTGCTACAATACACTACATTGCATTACATGCATGTGAATATATATATATATATACACATTGAATTGTATTACTATTGTATCTTATACATGGAGAATATATATATATATATAAAGAATACTATAATATAAGTTGATACAGGAATAACACATCATTTATTATTTGTATATATTGGCTTGTCGGTCATTGTCCCCACCAGAGATTTCGCCCTGGTGGAGTCAATGTCTGATACAAGAGCCGGGTAAAAGTGGTTGCAATGGACACATAATCTGTTGCTCAATGCCTACACCGGAATTTCCCACACAAGACCTTCAACACATACGGTACATAGATACATACATATACATGCAGTATATATATATATATACAATCTATGTACATATGTATATATAAATATGTACAATCTATGTACATATGTATATGTAGGTGTATATATATATATATTATAAATATATATATATATATGAGCTACTCCTGCGGCAAAGAATCGTATAGGGTTTTTGACGAATGGAATAGCAAAGCACTTCCGTCCCCGCAAGTGTCTCGCAATATTCGTTCTCAAACCAGTCCGAACGCAACCAAAGCAGAAACTCCTCCAGGCTCTCGTTGGTCGTATTGCTGTCACATGGCAAACGTGCCTCCTCCCAAGCCTGATATGGGACCACGGGATTGTCAGCCTCAGAAGTTGAGGATATGGTGCCAAACTGTGGTTGTTTTGTCACATTTTAACGAACAACGCCCAAGAAGGGTCCAAAATGGTCCAAATCAAACCGCCAACGGATCGGTGCCACCATTCGTCCCCCAGCCTGATGAAGTAGCCAGGAGGACCATCGTGTGGCGTTGTGGCAACGTTCATCGAAGGAGACAATGCTTTTACATGAGTAACTGCCTGGTGGTGCACCCCTGTCAGCAAGCGCTTACAATCCACTCATATGTCATCATATGTCTATTGATGTGTATGTATATATATATATATATATGTGGTTAAATATAGTTTATAGAATTATAAATACGTGTATATACATAATATGCGGTAACTACATTTAAATATACGGATTTTGAAATATACGAACAGGTATTTTAGACTACCTCCGGGAAGGTTTTCCTTGGCCCGCCCGGCCATTTGAACATACGGAATCCAATTCGTTTAAACATACGGTAACTACATTTAAATATACGAACTTGTATTTTAATGCATTCTATACTACCTCCTGGGCCTTGCGGTCTGGCCCGCCCTCCACATATTTAATTGTCGTTACCGTATATATAATATCACTTATGATACATAATAAATTTATGTCCTGAAGTGGTTCTATCTGTTTAATAAGTGGGACGCATATCCGAGTATAATGTGATACAACTGCATAGAACCGCAAATATTGGGATTTCCACTAACGATGCTATAGCCCCAAACTTAGATATACACCAGTTTGAAACATCAAACACAATACAGCAGGATCTCAAGTGCTGCCTGTGATACAAAAAGGCTACAAATAAGCCCAGAAAACTACCAAACTAAGGTTTACTGTATGGTTTATCCAGTTCAAGCGGTGTGACTTGTATGTCTAAATAGCATTAGAGTCTGGAAATGAGTACAGGATGGGGACTTGGTAAATCTCCGCTCAACAGTGTCTAGCATATTTCCCTCATGAAACGTGCTGACCTTCATTGGAAAGTATGTTATTCCAAATAGTTTCAGCCTCAAATTGCATCTTGGCAAGTTAATCTCTTGCCCGCTAGCTTTATTTTGGGTTTATACTGATCTGTATCATAATATCTGTAATCCTTAAATCCCCCTGCTCCAGTCCCAGCTTTTTGGTTTTCCTGGACAGTTCCACAGTTCCACCATCGCACCTTGCGAGTTCGAGTTCGTGTTGCAGGCAGACAGTTTGGAGGCGTAGCGCGAAACGTTCACCTCGTTCCAGAGTTCATAGTTGCACTGCGCGTGCATAGCCAGCCCGTTCAGCATAAGATCCATCCTGAGGCGAAGATCCATGACGTTGGACGTGGCGGTTGTTATACTCGATCCCCACATGCATGAAAATGGATAAAAATGGGAAGAAGGCTTACATGGAGTTACGCTATGGAAAAACGTCATCATATGTCATCATGCTTTTCTCCAATGGTTCATACATGCAAGCTCTATATGGATCTAGAGAGAAATAAATGACATAAAATAAACAAATGCGAGAACTTGATGGCCGTAACGTTAAGTATGGCCCAAGTCACCAAGGTACATATATCAGCTAACGGGGATGGTTGACACCAAAAGATGTGAACCCTCTCTGAAACTGTGCCCCTGGTAGGTCTCTCAATTCTTGAGCGGTCCTTCTTGCATTCTTGGTGGGTTGCCTACGCCCATTACCACTGTGATTTTTTAACATCGGTGGCCTGAAACAACCTGTCATCTGAAGCATATCTGTGGTTTTCAAGGATTTCTACGGATTCCCAAAGTAAGTTTTTTCAAGACTTGCGACTTGTGGTGCCCAAATTCAACCAAACCCCAAATGAACACAATAACAAGGAAGATCATGATAAATTGCAAAAAACAAAAGAAACTATAAATTGATGAAAGATAATATGAAAAACATGATTACACACATGTTTCCAAAAAAAACGTATAATGTCCACGGTCCACAGCCAAGAAATAATAGCATCAAACAAAAAGCATGTAGATATAAAACAAGTAAGAACACATCTTTTCAATTTGCACCCAGCGCAGCTGTGATATATATTTCTCATTACTGTACAGAGCAAAACAACCCATGCAACTTGACAATGATCAGCGGAGTTCTCAGTGCTGAAAGGATGGTAATCCCCAAGAAGTAGTTAAATGATTATGCGCTCTCTCAAGGAGCAACATAGAAAGAATGTGAAAGAATCATCTACAACATGAGACATTTGGGGTGAATATGATCCCCAATAAAAGTGTTTGAGCCTTTTTTGAATTCATGGTCCAATTGCGAAAAAAGACAACAACATAAACCATACAAAATAAGAATAATGAATTGACATTAAGACAAAGAAGTCGAAAAGAAAACAGTAAACAAATGACCACAAAACTTGCTTTGAAATCAGTTTTCAATTGCGTAGTAAAAACGGGGTAACATGTGAAATCTTGACACTCATTTCAAAACGTATCTATTTGGAAAAGAAAGACATGTTGACACCCAAAAAGGTTCGAATTACTGTTTTAACTGCTGGTTTAAAACCCGAAATACATGTTAACACAAATGAAATTCTGACCATCGAAGATTCTGAATTCATTGACATAGCATAGTTCAAAGAAAGTGCAATGTAAACATAGAGATAACAAATATATAACAGGAATAAACAGCCACACATCTAAATCAAACCAAAACACAAAACCAGAACAGTCTACTGTACATGAACAACTTCTAAAACACTAGTTTAAAATGCGTGTTGTCAATATTTTCATTAACAAGAAATAAGCATAAAATTAATATGTTTTTTTTGGCACCCCACTCAGTTTTTATTGACAATGTTTGAGTTGCACAGATAAACAAACAAATAAGATATGTGTTAAAATACAAAAACATAGACATAGACAAAAAACAATGCTCATTGGCAGCACTGATTGAGCAAACAATAACAAACAAGTACTAATATATAATAATAAATAATACTAATACATAATAGTAAAAATAAATGTTACTGATAACTAATAAATAATACATACCAACAACATCTAAAATTCAAAATAAAAATAACTAATGATAATAAAGAATCTATGTATTGAATTAATATATATATATACTAAATATGTATGTATGAATATACATATATATATATTATTATACAATATTTCAAGTTCTGAGTAGTGCCCATGTTGAATACGATGCCCCTTCTTGCAATAAACAAAGTTAGCTAAGTTGGTTCTAACTAGAAAAAGCAGGCTTTACGGTGGATATGTCTATAGTCGGCTTTGCATCCCACTTAGTAAATGGTCAAGAACCGTGTCAGAACCCAGTTATGTATAGGGTATACATACATGGGTTATATATGGGTCATAAAGTCATAAAGTCACTACACACATACTAATTGGGATGCACCCGCAAGTATAGCGGGATCTGCTTTTAAAGACCACATCTTCAACATGTTTCAACCATTTCTTTGCCCAGTCGCACGAGGTATGCGAAAGAGACCGAACAGGCCAATCGAATGAGGGTAGAAACAGCGTAAAAGCCGCGAGCAGCCTTGAAACGGAAAATTTTGAGCACCGTGAAAATAAACATGTTTTAACGCGTGCCAATCCGATCCTCTGAACGTTCATTAACCATCACATGTCTGTTTTACCCGAGCTCTTGTGGCGTGACATAGTTTGTTCCAGAATTTTTCTGGGACAAGTGTGGCCAAACATATACCTCTTAATCTACGATCACCAAGAGTTCCTCAATCAATTGATGGTTCACTGAATTTCCCGCTGATAATCTTAGAGGACCAGCCATACATTTTAGCTCTTGGGCATCAAGCTTGGGGTTTTCCCCACATGCCACATCGATGATATAATGATATATGATACCGTGACATATGTTGTTACATTGGCTAGGCAATTCTGTTTGGTGATATGAGTGGCAAGATTTTGGTTATAGTAGTTTCTTATGTTTTGAAGGTCTTGACACTCTTTCCAAGCATCTGATACCGATCCAATCAGAATAAACACAATGCAAATTGTGTTTACTGTTCTGCTGTTCGACTCACATGAAAAAATAGTTTGACCATGGTATCAACAAATTTTGTGATTTTTGTTTCATGTTGGGTTGTCATGATTCAGCCCATACCATTCCCAATCATGCATTTATCATCATGCATTGGTCTGTCTGAGAATAGAGCACCTTCAAATCCAATGGTTGATTATCAGTTTCCCACACAAACAAATACCATTTGGGGAAATTTTCAGACAGACCCAGGTTTAATCGCCAAGACCAGCAACTTTCTGATGCTCACCGAGACCAAATTTCGATTGATCTCTTGGCCGCACCACATGCACAGGCCACAGCAAGGGATCGAGCACATTACCCGCTCGAACGCAGGCCAGTAAGCACATCAGCAGCAACGCAGCCACGGTGATGTAGGGAGTTGTGACCTGAACATGTTTTGGGGATATTCAAAAAACATGCACACATGGTTTGCATATGGTATAACAACGGACAAAACATGACACGTATGGACAAAACATGACACGTATGGGTGATGTATATCACCCAAACGGAAGTGTTACTACGGAAACGGATGACGAACCACTAAATTTGGCAGCACCCTATTGTCAGACAAACCCATATATCATTCATTATAAATTGTTCATGTAAAACAACTAGCTGGTTAATAATCCATGTGTGACTGGGCGGATATGCCGTCTATACAAGTGCACTAACCCTGGCTCATATGGTGATTGAGCACTTACAAGGAGGGCCGATAAGTTTGCACATAATTCGACAAAATGTTGGATTCATAATATCGTGAAATTGATCTACAAATGGATGAATGCAACTAAAACAATTGAGAACCTATGGGGCCAAGCTGGGTATGTTCATGAAGAAAAAAAGAAACATTTTGATCTGTATACTGGTAGTAGTAGTAGTAGTAGTAGTAGTAGTAGTAGTAGTAGCATTAGTAGTAGTAGTAGTAGTAGTAGTACTAGTAGTAGTAGTACTAGTAGTAGTAGTAGTAGTAGTATCAGCATCAGCATCAGCAGCAGCAGTAGCAGCAGCATTAGTAGTAGGGCGGGTTGGGTGACAATAACGCCCATGTAAACTGGCAATGTAGTGTGGTGCTTCCGTCCACATGGTGCTTGCAAATATGATCATGATGATGATGATGACGACAATGATGTTGATGATGTTGATAATGGTGATGATGATGATGATGAGGAGGAGGAGGAGGATGACGATGAGGATGACGTTGACGATGAGGATGATGAGACGAGGAGGATGATGATGATGATAATTGCGATCATGAGAAGGATAAGAGGAACATGCAATAACACAAAGGATACAAACGAGACAAAACTCAAGGCACAAGCAAGCAAAAGGGCAGGACCCAAGCAATGCTCTGCCGTTTCAAACACACAAAAAAAAGTGTGGCAGCATCCCCTTATATTACCTATGATGTTACCTTTTCACTGACTAATTAATACCGTACTATATCCGTATTATTTCCACATATATGATATTGATTAATATTGATTATTTTCCAGCCTAGAATCCTCTATTGTTGGCATTTTCGATACAAATAGCCTTACACTCTTGTAGTCGACCGCTATGGAAGTCATGGCCCATTGGTTGTGCGACCATTCGCTGTCCAAGGTGCCAAGTGAACTCCGGGGATTGCCGCGAGAGCGATTATCTCGAAGTAGCCAATGGCCCACACGGCAATCTGCGGCTGGTGTCTTTATCTTTCGATAGTTTACAGTAGGAAAACCTAGAAAAGCCAAGGACAATTATATACAAATGGATACGAATGGTGGGTTATATCTTTGTGTAAATGTACTGCAGAGTCAGTTCAACCCCAGTTGCATAGTTTGTTGTGTTGATCATCTATACGCTGCGTTTGAATTTCATGAGATACAGTAACGGGTTTTGAATGTGGGAACATGGAGTATCATTTTGGGAGAAGAGCGTAAGCTGTCTCACAGACAGATATGCTGTCATCCTCAATCCTCTTGTTATAGGGATGGGTCATTTGCTACCCATGATCTTCATTCATTTACCATTTACAGTATCATATAAATGGAGAAAATCCCATAACATTCTATAACTACTAAATTTTGATCTAAAACCGGTTCATTACCAGAAACAATACCCTCAACCACCATTTCCAATAGGCAAATCATCATAAACGATCTATAAAAGACCATGATCCATAGCTATGTGAAATACCAAAGGGTATGTGAGTTCACCATGGGGTTCAGCTGGCAGAGAACCAACATCCATGAAGCAGCTGGCGCCAGCTTCTAGGATGATCACGACTGAAGTTAGCCATGGATCGTCCTGGAATATACAAATATATATTGTGTATGTCTAATATATTTATAAATTGTATATATATGTATATATAGAATATAAGATACATCCTATAATATAGTTGTATGCATATTGAATCAAGAGTGAGACAAAGTTGGAATGAGTTGCTTGTTAAACCTCTCATAACTGAAACTTGGAACTAGTTCGAAACCCACCCAAAGAAAAAATACAACTGGATTATACCCTTATACTAACCACTTATATCATATATCTGAAAAACAAAAAAACTACTTTCCCAGGGACATCCTCTACGCAATGCTCTGGGGTTGAAGAGTGGGTTAAGAGTGTGTTAAGACACTTTATCACACGAGAAATAAGACTCTAAGTTCCCGGGAACGTTTTGGAAAAACAAATCTACGTGAAAACAAACACTTACTATCTCTTTTATGAGGTTTACGGGACTATGTATGTTACTGTATGTTTCCTTTGGGTAACTAAGAGGCGTTTAATCAACAATCAAGAATAATGGAGTTAGGGCCAGTTAGGGCCAAGAAAAAGCAAAGTTGTTGTGGTCGGTGCTTTGGGTTAAAAACCAGAACTGAGGATTGAGAATCCTAATTGAGAGTCTACCCGATCCCCTGCTTTCTTATCCCAAGCCACAGCCCTATGGTTCTAGCAGAGTGCGCCCTGGGGCCCCTGGGTTTTCTTTGGCCCGCCTGTCTGAACCATTGATCCTGCAAGGCGCGATACGATGCTTCCAATCGAATGCTCAGGCGAAAGCGGTTGGCTGCGTCATCATCCATGGCTCATCACCAATGATCCTAGCTACATCGCCATTGAGGTGGCTGTAGAGAAAATGGATATGTTGACTTCCCAAAAAGGTCATTTGAACAAGAAGATATCATGATGAACCATTTTCTTGGCATTCTATTTTGGACTATATTCTCCAAAAATGCTAATTTTTAAGTGGGAAGATGGGGATTAACCAGTGAATCTGGAGGTACCGTACTTTTGGACAAACCCAAATATGTTACACAATGTTCTAGCCGAACTTTTCAAGCGGAAAATATCGTGTTTTTTCTTTTATATCCAACCTTGCTGCTGCCATTTTATGAGGGCAAAAACTCTAAAAACCTGAAGGTTCATTGAAGCAATCCGATGCCTCCTCTCGTGGTGCCCGGCTTGAGCCAAATGGCGTTGACCAACAAAGGGAGATCTTGCTCATATTATTAATGAAATCATGTTAAATTGGTTAAACATGAGGATAATTGAGTGCATAAACAATAACACATAATATAAATAATATAAATTAAACTTGTTTGCTTTGTTTATCACATTTTATCACCCTATGATCACCATGAATCTCCAGGGTGCATATAGAGAGACACAAGCGTGATGGGAGAGCACACAAGGACCGAATTTCCGGGCTCCAAGACATGGCTGAACACCCAGCTGAAACCCGAAAAAGAAGAATCTCTGCGACCGTCATATCTGTTAAAATAGTGATTATTGTTGGAAGTGAAACATCTTGTGGTACAAGTACTAGGGAAACAGCACCTTCAACACTCCAATACAGATGGGTCTGTTTGAGAATGGTTGTTTTTCAACACTTTTTTCCAGGGGTATTTTGGGTTTCAAGACGAACCCATATATCACATGAAGATCCGAGTATGTATATATATATATACATAAACATATTTAGAAGTCAAATTGAACCCAACAACATATTCCCGTTGGACACAATTTGGAGCGTATGCCCATATTGGGGGGATGCTCATCAATCCATTCACTGATTCCAATTATAGTGATTTCCGTTACGGGGAGGAGGACCATACACCGCATGGACGATACACCATGTTTTGACCCCAGCGCCCAGCACGTATGTCACCATTACATCCTCATGAAACAAGGCCAGAAGCTCAATTTGCACCGTGGTGCTTCTGCCAGCCGTTGCATCATCCGCCAAAATTGCACGGATGAAGATCTGCTTTTCCTCGAGGAAACTTTCCGGAAGTAAACAATGTTCAGGGAGCACAACATGACAACCCATATGCATATATATATATTTCAGATTAAATATATAATGTAATATTCTATTATGCTTATTTGATCCTATATATATATACACACATGCGTAAACATGTTGGTTCTATAATTCTGAGCATCAAGTGGTGGGGTCGTTGTGTACATGTTTTTGCTAACGGGTGCCAAACCGTACGTGTAGTTACACACATTTTCAACATGGGGTGGGGTGGGGTGGGGTGGGGATGTTAACGTTCGTTAGCAGTTGAAGACGCCACGCATGCTACGCTGAGCATGTGGTGAGGTGGAGATGTGTACGTTCGGTTGAAGTTGAACACGCCACTGCTGCTACGCTGATCATGGGGTGGGGATGGGGTGGGGATGTTCACGTTCGTTAGCATTTGAACACGCCACGCATGCTACGCTGAGCATGTGGTGGGGTGGAGATGTGAACGTTCGGTTGAAGTTGAACACGCCACTGCTGCTACGCTGATCATGGGGTGGGGATGGGGTGGGGTGGGGTGGGGATGTTAACGTTCGTTAGCATTTGAACACGCCACGCATGCGACGCTGAGCATGTGGTGGGGTGGAGATGTGAACGTTCGGTTGAAGTTGAACTCGCCACTGCTGCTACGCTGATCATGGGGTGGGGATGGGGTCGGGTGGGGTGGGGATGTCAACGTATATCGTGTGTTCTCGTTTCCTGTTTTGAGGAGTGCATCATAACAATTTATAATGGTTGTCATACTTCTGTTGATAGTGTCTTTCACCACGGTAACGATAAAGTTCATCCCAATGGTGATAAAAATCACCCTCTAATTTCATATGTTGGTCATTATTGGATATGCTTGGTATGATAGCGATCTTTCATATCGTGAGGATAATAACTCATCAAATCACTAGTCAGTGAGGTCTACATGCACAATGATCAATGAAAGTGGCAAGGCAAAAAAGGTCCGAAATTTGTGCTGTAAGGGTTGCAAAATCCAAGAAAATGACCTTTTTTGGGAACATTTTTTTCCTGATCAGAAGGCCACGAAACACTGAAAGGGTTGTCATTTTTTTCAGCATGTTGATGCGCCTACACGCGCGATTCCGCACCCGGCGGGATGTTTTTGTGTGTGTGTGTATACAACGGATATGTATCAACACTTCAAAGTATGACAATCTCATATACACACACACATATACTACAGTCTCGCGGTCTCGCGGTATTTTTTCTGCACAATATATGTGCACCCGACAACCATGACATTGCATGTACATTTTTATGTGTATACATACTATTTATATCTATTTATACACATTATATATATATACAATCAAATATATATATATATATAATGTTCGTATTAATACGGCAAATGCCTGGGCTTTCCCCGGAACCGCAACCACGACAGGCAAAGCATCATCATTATCATCATCATCATCATCAAACCCTTATTGAAGATCTTCAATGAATGTAGAAGTTTAACGGGGGTGGGAGAATTAAACCACTATTGAAGATCTTCAATGAATGTAGAAGTTTAACGGGGGTGGGAGAATTAAACCCTTACCGAAGACCTTCAATAAATGTAGAAGTTTAATGGGGGTGGGAGAATTAAACCCTTACCGAAGATCTTCAAATGAATGTAGAAGTTTAATGGGGGTGGGAAAATTAAACCCTTATTGAAGATCTTCAATGAATGTCAAGTTTAACGGGGGTGGGACTCCTGGGCAAAGCCCAGGCGTTGCGCGTATTATTAGGTGTGTGCATGTATATTTATATATATATATATTTATATATATATTTATTTATATATATATACCGACTATATGTACTATGTTGATAGACGATCCAGAAAAGAAAAATCATTGAGGGTTTGAACTCTGGAGTATCACAAGTTTGCACACCAAGCCTTACCAGAGTTTTCAGAGAGGTGAGAACAAATGTCTGGGGAGTCCATGGGGGCTCCAATAATTGTTGGCAAACATAGTCTGAGAGACGTTGCGCTCTGCATCAATGTAAATTGAATACGGCAATGAACATTTCTCCATTGTTGAGCCAGTTGTTTCTAGCTGGGTTTGAAAATTGGGAACCCTAGATACACTGATTACTGGTTAAAAAATGATAATCATGTTCATAAATGTTCCCTGTTAAACAAATTATTTGCCCAAATGCTTGATAGATAGGGTTGATTTCCAAACCCTCGTTTACTGTGAAAACTAAGCATCTCCGGACTCCTGGTAAGGATGACTCCTCAATATCATGAATGTCAAGCCATGGTCTTCAGGGTTGGGACTTGCTACATGACATCATATGACCATCCACTTCTTTGAAGTCACGAAGCTTCAAACCATTGGCCTGCTTGGGGTTGGAAAATCAAGATAATCATTGGTTGGTGACCAACGGTTGGTGGTTGACCCACCCCTCTGAAAAATATGCTCGTCAGTTGGGATGATTATTCCCAATATATGGAAACTCAGAATCCAGCCATGTTCCAAACCACCAACCAGAGTACAATCATAAATTCATAAATGATCATTTATAGTTGATTTACCTACTATGACTATGGAAAATCATGGAAAATCATCATGTTTACTAGGTAAATCAACCATAAATGACCATTTTCATCCAAACCACACCCCAAATTCACCACGCTTCAGATCATCCTGGGAGGTCGCCCCTGGCCCAGTGGCTGACGGTTTGCAGCCAGATCCCCCGTGGCGGAGCGCAGCCAGAACTAGGGCGGGCACATGCCATCCAGGAGAGCCGGTTGATGGATTTTCAGGTATCTATTCATGGTGCTATGGGTTTGCCTACAAACCATGGAATAAATGTGAAATCTACTGAAATCCCCACCTTCCACCTTTCGACTGCTCAAACATCCAAGTCACATGACCCGCTGCGCCGCTGCGGACAAACTCGTGACTCACACGGCTGCGAGGGACAAGAAACGCTCAGGCTACATCCTGTGAGCACGATGTGTTGAAAACAAATGGGCCAATCTCTTTCCGTCTCTACTAGGAATCCCAGATCTGCAGAATCAAAAGCCCTCGGCAAAAAAAAGAGAAGCCCGCTACACAATGGCCCCCTATGGTTTATGGTGTATATATATATTATTGTGGACGTTTCCTAAAATGGGGTACCCCTATATCATCCATGTTCAAGGAATTTTCCATTATGAACCATCCATTTAGGGGTACCCCCATTGTAGGAAACCCCCATATTGAATTATGACTCCCTATACAAATCCATTGATGACCATCCCTGACTATGGGCAATCAGCCTCCAAATCGCAGCCCACATGATCACAGCTGACCTTGAGTACAGCAGGTGTTCATCTAATCGTTCACTATGGCCAATGAGTATTGATAATCATAGTGTTGCGAATCATGTCCCAGATGCTCCATGTATGATATATTTGGCATATTTGAATATATTTGATACCTAAACCCCTGCCTAATTCTAAAAACCTTGGAAACCTAAAGTGATGTTGGGCCAAATGAGGTGTTTGGGCGTATAATCATCAGCTTGTGGATGATTCTGGGTGCAGCTATTGGTAGATATTCTATTATGAATCTTCCAGCACCATGGGGAACAACTATCAGCGTGTTTACTACAATTGTGCCATTTCATCCAATTAGAGCCCCATTGACTATGCTTGAAAATTCCAAGTGGATATTCTTAAGTCCTACTACGTTCTTGCTAACTGTCATAGTGGTGACTAAATTCAACTATATATATATATATATAGTCACCAAGTATACTATATCCCAAATCTTATTCTATCCCCATTAA